TTGACTTTGTCAAATAGCTCTTTGTGCACCTACCTTTGCTTTGTCAAATGTAAATCAGATAATAAACATGAATATCTTCTTAAATTTTTATTTGTCTTTCTGTGTTTTTGTCCCAGTTCTCACAGATTATCCTGCATTGAGTCTTTCCTTTCCATTACGTTGGTTTTGGTAGAGAAAACAACCTCTCTTTGCCAAACCAATGCAAAACAAATCAACAGTAGTCATAAGTAGTAAACAGATCTTACTGTATTTTCTGAGATATATTTTTCAAAACAGAGGGGATGGAGTGTCTATATTTGCCATATTGTTTCCTTAGCAAAATAACAGCCGCAAAAAGTCATTGCAGATCTTTAATTTGGGAAGACTGAGAAAATGTGAAGCAATTTTTTTCCTAAACTCCGCAATTTACTGTTGATGCTCTTAGCTATTTAGAAACTGTTTTCGGCAGACAGTCTCCCCTTTGCTGTCCTGCCTGCTACTCCCTTGTGGTGTAGTCAATAAACTTCTCTCTCTTTTGTTCTGCCTTGGGTGAATTATTTTACCACCCACACCGCTGGCCCCTACCCAACTGGAGCGCCCCACATTTGGTCTTCCCAGATTCTCTGGGAATTTCTTGGAACTTCCCTCAGTGGACCGACTCTAGTAGTCCTTGGGAAACTGAGGATCCAAAGCCCCAGGGGGAACCCACCAGACCGCCCTTGCCCGAAAGGGTGAGGGATTTTTCCTTCTTGCCCTTCAGAGGGACTCCTCCTTCCCTCTCCTTTCTCTTTTCAGCCCCCTGGCGCCCTAATCCTAGTACTTCTCAGACAACTGAAGATCTCTGGCCAGGGCAACTCCCTGATGTGGTCTAAAGGTGTGAAGGTGATCAGGTTGGACTGCTGGTGCCCGTGACAACAAAGGACCCCTTTCCCTTCCTCTCCCACTCCATCTCCTTTGAGGTCTCCATTCCCATTGTGCTTCTTTTGGAATTCCCTCCTTCCCCTTTTCCTTTGTTCCCATGGATCCAGCTGCCATCTTCATCTATAGGCAAAACGCATTCCTATGCTCTGAGTGGTGCATCCTTTCTGCTCCTTTTTCCAACCCGGTCTGGCCACCTGGTGTCCAGCTTTCCCTGTTGCAGAGGATGTCCCAGCAGGGATTTCTATTGCCATTTGCTGCAACCCTCCCCTTGGTGGGATGCCCCAGTAGAGTCAGTCACCCCATATAAGGTTCAGTCCTTTTTCAGGTCAGTGGGATGCCCCGACCGAAAAAATTGCAACCATGAGTCAGGAGTTCCATTGCCTTTGGTGGGATACCCCTTTGGGAATCAGCAGCCAGTCTTTCCCACTATGGGACAAATTCCCTCTTTTCCTTTGGACTCACTCTTGGGCTATTCTTAAAAAATGGAACAAATGTGATGCCCAAGGCCTGAGAAAAATGTCTCATCTTTTTTATGTAATGTTTCCTGGCCTTAGTACAAACTCCCAGATTAAGAGGTATGGCCCCTCCATGGAACCCTTTCTTATTATTTTCCAGCTTGACCTCTTTTGCCAGAATTCCTCCAAATGGTCAGGAGTCCCACATGTGCGAGCCTTCATGTCATTGTCCCCAAATCCTGACCTCTGCAAAATCTGTAGAATGTGTTTTGCTAGGTTTCATGGCCTTCTGATCCTGCAGATAGCTATCAAACCTGAAACTTTGAGGTTTTGCTGTTAAATGATTAGTTGGATTGAATTCATTGGATAGCTAAGTCATTTTCAAATAAACTCCTAAAGCATTGGTTAATGATGTAGGTCTGTCTCCTTTTGACTTCTTACTGCAGAGAAACTAAAAATACTTGGGTCTGTTGGAAAACATTCTTTGTGCCTTATTGAAAGATTATACTTTGAAAACTGCATGTGCCTAAAAATTATGAAATGTATTCATAAATTTGCCAATCTAAAGAATTTTGGTGTAATAGTTCACAATTGGTTACTACTTAGTTTTCACTGGAGACTAAGGTTCTAAGAGTTAAAATTTTGCTATATGTAATTAAGACTGATGGAAATGACAAGGAAAGCAACTCCGTATGTAAGAAAGTAGGAGACGTGTAAGAAAGGTGTCAGGAATGAGAATACATTTTTGTTGAGGGAAAAAGAAGGTAATTTTGTCCCAAAATGAGACTACTTATGTGGAGAGAAAAGACTTAGGACAAAATCTGAATACAAAAGAAAGCTGTAGGTCTGTGAAGGGAAAGCTCTAGAAAAGAATTTTATGTGTGGTCAGGATGAACTAAGATTGAAACAAATGGTACCTGAACCCTCTGAAATTCAGAAACTCTCAATGAGTATTCTTTGTTCAATGGCAATTATAATTATTTGCATAAGTCCAGTGAGAATCTATTCTTCTTGTAACAAGATACCATTGGAAACATTGGTTATATTACCAAGGTTTTAACTGGAATGTCATATTTGAGAGAGACATGCATAGACTCAGATATAACCAGACAGCTGTAAGGAATTAAGGTTGACTTTATGAAGCCAATAGAGCCCCTTGGAAATGTTGGTCTGGTACCTTGCTTACAGAATTCCCAGCAGCCTTACCAGGTGAGTAAAGAATATCACTTCCTGGGAGGTGCAGGAACCTCAGGATTTGCTGGGGAACCTCGAGAAGAGCAATTTGCCCAAATCTACAGGTATTGCAGGCATGTCTGATGGCAAGCATTTGGTCTGGCTTCTCGCCTCAAGAGTCTATTAAAAGTTCAGCCTGCAGATTCCTTGTGAAAAGTTCCAGCAAAGCAAATTTTAAAGGGTCTCTATGGTCAATCACTATTCTTGTTGAACTTATGTAAATAATTAGGCCAAATTTGTTAAAATTGGACTTGTTTTTCAAATGAATTAGTCTTGATTTGGATACAAAATTTAGTGATTTAGTGATATTCCCAGCATCTTTAATTGTGTTTTCTTTCTTTCACAAATGAAGAGCAGCAGTAGATGTGTTTAAGTCCCAAAACCTTCTGATGAGGGTAATATTTGAGGGCATTCTGTTGACTTACATCTCAGTTTTTACTATATTAAGTTTGACTTATGCTAGTATCAAGTTTTGTTTTTCATTGGTTTTTATAAAATAAGTACCTAAATGCCATAGAATTTTCAAATGAACAAATGTTGCTGTGCAGGTTTGGTAAAGATGACAAAATACAGCTGCTGGGTGGCAGGCATGAAGAGTTTTATTCTAAGAAAATGAGAGTAAAACACACCAAAGATGTGAGATATTAGCGAAAAATACATAAAAGTCAAATAATTTAAAAAGTGTTCCATAACATTTATTTTTCTTGCCTTCTAGCAAAATCACTAAGTTATTTAAAGGCAAGATTTTCACATTATATTTAAACATTACAACAAAGGGCCAGAAAACTTTACAAAATATTTTAATTTTGTGTAATCCACTACCACTTAAAAAGCTATTTCACCATCTTTCAAGGGACTCTCTAGATACACACAGTTCTATACAATAATATGAAGAAGTAGTGCCATGCTTCATCCATGTACCATCTAGACTCATATATATAAATTTTAAGGTAATCAGAATTCATATTGCAAAATATTCTTCAGCCACAAAATGCAGGTCTTGCAAGTACCACTCCATTATATAAGTACCTGTGGAATTACAAATTAAAACATTAGGGGGCGCCTGGGTGGCTCAGTAGATGAAGTGTCTGACTCACTCAGGTCGTGATCTCAGAGTGGTGAGATCAAGCCACCCATGGGACTTCACCCCCAGCTGAGAGTCTGCTTGAGATGCCACTTGATATTCCCTCTGCCCCTCCTCCCACTCGCGGGCGCGTGCACGCAAGCTCTCTCTCTCCACTAAATAGATAAAAGTCTTTAAATAAAAAAATTAAAATGTTAAAAGAAGCGATAAATGGATGCTCGGCACCACTGGAAAACAGTATTTCATTATGCGTGAATCGATGCATCCATAGTGACAACTTTTGACAAGCTACCTTTCCTCTCTCCTCGCTGCTGCTGCTCTCATTCCTCCTGAATTCCAAAGCAGTGTCTGTCTCTGACCTTAGCAGCACAACCCAGAAACCTTCCTAGCATTTAAGAAAAAAATTGTATTCTTGAAGTATAGCTGACGCACAATGCTATGGTAGTCTCAGGTCTGCAACACAGTTATTCAACAATCCTATACATTACACAGTGCTCACCCGAAGTGTGGTCACCATACAAGGTTATCCCAATGTTATTGGCTATCTTTCCTATGCTGTACTTTATATCCCCGTGACTTATTTCTTTTATTACTGGAAGTTTGTACCTCTTGATTCCCCTCCTCTATTTCGCCCATACCCCATCTCCACCCCTCTGGCAACCACCAGTTTGTTCTCTGTAGTTATGAGTCTGTTTCTGTTTTTGTAAGTTTTGTTTTTTGGATCCCACATTTAAGTGAAATCATATTGTATTTGTCTTTCTCTGAAAAGATTCTCAGCATCACTAATCATTAGGGAAATGCAAATCAAAATCACAATGAAATATCACCTCCCACTTGTCAGAATGGTTATTATTAAAAAGACAAGAAATAAGTATTGGCAAGGATGGGGAGTAAAAGGAAACCTCATGTCCTGTGGGTTGGAATGTAAATTGGTGCAACCACTGTGGAAAACAGTATAGAGGTTCCTCAACAAATTAAAAATAGAAATGCTGTATGATCCAGTAATTCTACTACTGGGTATTTACCCAAAGAAAATGAAAACACTAATTTGGAAAGATACATGCACCCCTATGTTTATTGCAGCATTGCTTATAAGAGCCAAGATATGGAAGGAACCCAAGTGTCCATCCACAGATGAAAGGAGAAAGAAGATGTGGGGTTCAATGAAAGATTACTCAGCAATAAAAATAGAATGAAATCTTGCCATCTGGGACAATATGGATGGACCTCGAGGGTATTATGCTAAGTGAAATAAGGCAGACAGAGAAAGACAAATACCTTCATAGCATTTTGACAGTCATCTTTTGTTTTGAAGATAAAGGGTAAGAGGTGTGGAGAAGCATTCCCCTGGATCCTGAATGGGGTTACTGATGAGAACAGATGTTTAGGGTAATGGGTCCTGCTGTTCCAGTGCTGAGCCCCGTAGGTGTTTGTATGACTCCTGTGGCTTCCTGGAGAGGGACCATTTGGGAAGAGCTGAATCAGTCACTTAGCAGAGCACCCTAAAGTGAGATCTTCAAAGACAAGAAGCAATCAAAGGAAACCAAGGAACGTGGAGATAATGATAAGCTCCCCGAAAGAACACTGTCTTTTCCACACCGGGAGTATTCTCAGAGAGCCACAGAAGGCTTACCCAAAAGGAAATCTTCTAAATACTCAACTGGCTGATCACACTTGTCACTTCCTGAGGGCCACAGCATCCCACAAGGTGGTGCCCATTTCCCAATCCAATGTGCAAGCTAATTTTGATGATATAATTGGGTTAAGTCACAGTTTCTCTTTTACTTATTCAACCTCTACTCTCTTATACGTCTGACCTCTCCCACCTCCATGCCAAATACTAAGGCACATTGCTTTGGGGAACATTACTGACAATGTTAGTAGCATCAGTCCCCTTTCTGGGTCTTTGGAAAAAGCCTTTTGCACAATCCAAAGTTTCCCTAAATTCAATCAAAGAGCAGTTGACACTTGGCCCCTAAAAGCCTTCCTTTCCTTCCCCTCTGCCGTTTTGGATCTGACAAAGTTGTACTCATGTCTAAATAGAGGTGGAAAGAAAAATCCTAAGGTAGTGGTAATTCGTGCCAAGCCTTGGCCAAGTCAAGTGACCTCCTTCCAATGCCTGCCTCCTTTGTACCTTCGCTGTTAGCCACTCTCCCCACAAGACCCAAATCCTGCTTTTTATAAATCATGAGAAAGCATTTAGATATAAAATTTCACACAGACTCCAAGTAATATCCAATCTCTAGACAGAGATGGATTTAACTGGATTAGTCAAATCTATTCATTGTTCTTTTTGTGACTTTTTTGCCTCCCTTTTAGTTTTTGAAGTTGGTCTTCATCTAGTCTGCCCGTGGTGCTTGGAGTTGGGGCAGCCAGAGTGTAACCACAAGGCTCCCCTCAGTTGACACCCTGAGATGGGCATGAGAGAAATATGGAAAAAAACCAATTCCCCAATGACATTGCTGAGTCTGCATCAATCTGGTAGCACTACTTCCAGACTTGGTATTTCATGAAACTAATGAACCTTTTTTATTTAAGCCATTTTCATTCAAGTGATGGTTGTATGTATTTGAGCTATAACATGGTCCACCCTTTAAGAAATACTGTTGTAAATATTGGTGGCGCTCCTCAGGGCTCTGCTCTAGACCCTATTCTCTTCTTATGCCCTTCCCCTGTGTGATCTCATCCACTCCCTTGCCTTTAAATATTATTTACCCTGAAGACTCCTAAAGTATTTCTGGCCCATACTCTTCCTCTGAAACCCAAATCATGGAACAAACTCTGTAATGGACATCACCACTTGGGTGTCTCCCTGGCACCTCAAACTCAACATGTCCAAGTTGAAGTCATGATCTGCTCCTTTGAGGCTGTTAATCCTCCAGACTTTATCATCTTAATAAAATGACACTGCCGTCTATTTAATTGCTTGAGCTAGAAACCCATGAATCGTCATTACCTCCTCCTTTTCTTCATTGTGACATCTGATCAATCTCCAAGTCTTATTGTGTCCTCTCCTCTCCATCCTTACTGCTGTTCCCCCAGCCAAGGCCACCACTGTGTCTCATTTGACCACTGCCATGGATTCCTAACTGGTTTCCCTGCCTCCTGACTTGGCCTCTCCAGTTGTTTCTCTACATTGCAGTCAAAATGATCTTTCTGGGGGTGCCTGGGTGGCTCAGTCATTAAGCGTTTGCCTTCGGCTCAGGTCATTATCCCAGGGTCCTGGGATCGAGCTCCACATCGAGCTCTCTGCTCAATGGGAAGCCTGCTTCTCCCTCTCCTACACCCCCTGCTTGTGTTCCCTCTCTTGCTGTCTCTCTCTGTCAAATAAATGAATAAAATCTTTTTTAAAAAATGATCTTTCTGTTCAAAACTAGTCAAATCCCTTTCTTTGACTCTTAAGAAGTCCCTGCTGTCCATTCCCACTGCATCTGGTGATGCCCGTAATGTAAGCTTCTTTGTGCTTTTATTGAATTTATTGTCTGCTTCCCCACCAGTCTCTAAGCTCTATGGAGCACAGAACTGAGGTATATCCCCCCCACCTCACAACAGTGCTTGGTACACAGTAGATAATAAATGTGAAGTCAAATGAATGAATGAATTTATAACATTCTTTTGTAAACTATGGGTTGTGACCCATCAGTGGATCATGAAATCAACCAAGTGGATTTATAATGAGCTTTCATTTTAAATAGAAGAAAAAATAATAGATGAGAATAGTATGTAATAAAGATATTATTGCATGCAACTTTTTATTATAAATGTGTAAAATATATTTCTTATAATGAGTTGCAGTTGAATAAAAGTGAAAGCCACTGACCTATCATAAGCAAGCATTTTTTCTGTAATAAGAAAAAGCAGCTTTTCTGCTTAGAAAAACTTAGGGGAAAAAAATTGTCCAACTCCTTGGTGACTGAAAAGGATTCTTGCCCTAGGGGATTTGTACTTTTACAGATTTCAAAGCCTGAAATTCAAGGAAGAAATTGCCTCTAGGTTTTAGGTTTCTGTAAGCAAAGACAAAAGAACTTAAAATCCTCCACAGATCCTGCCTTGCAACTACGGTCACAGGCCAATTAAGCGTAGGAGTGCTGTTTAATTCTATTTCCTCTGAAAGTATAGCTTAAGCATATTTTGTCTTGTGTCTTGGAGAATTTAACTGGCTGCTTCTCTCAGCCTTCTCTCTTTGAGAGCAGAGGGCCTGAGCCAATGAGGTGCTGCCTTCTGTTTCCATAGCAATAAAAGAAACAAACCTTTGCCTGCCACCTCCCAAGGACAAACCTCACAACTCAAGGCCCAAGTCAAGAGAGTCTGAATGGTAAGCTGGCTTTCTCCTCAGTTTGACTTTCATTGCAATATTGAAGGACTCAAACTGGACTGTCCTTAGGTGGGAAATTTGTACTCATGCCAGTTTAGCCTTTGTGAAAGCCTTTGATTGGATTCACTGAAAGTCTGTCTCCTCGCCCTACACATACTGTGGATTTTCTGCTTTGGCATTTCAATCACTTGGAATGACCACTAACGTCTTGGGTTCTGGAACCTCTGGATTTGATCTAAAATGAATGCTGATTTTATGTTGATGAAAAATAGTTTCTCTTGTGGTGTCTTTAAGACTCTTGACTTGGAAAAGAACCACATGAGAGAAAATCTTTGAGCAGTCCAAGGTAAACTCTTTGGAAAGATGTTTTATTTATTTATTTTTTTTAAGATTTTATTTATTTAGGGGCGCCTGGGTGGCTCAGTTGGTTAAGCGACTGCCTTCAGCTCAGGTCATGATCCTGGAGTCCTGGGATTGAGTCCGGCATTGGGCTCCCTGCTCAGCAGGGAGTCTGCTTCTCCCTCTGACCCTCTTCCCTCTCGTGCTTTCTATCTCTCATTCTCTCTCTCTCTCAAATAAATAAATAAAATCTTTAAAAAAAAAGATTTTATTTATTTGACAAAGAAAGACACAGCGAGAGAGAACGCAAGCAGAGGGAGTGGGAGAGGGAGAAGCAGGCTTCCCACCGAGCAGGGAGCCCGATGCGGGGCTCGATCCCAGGACCCTGGGATCATGACGTGAGCCAAAGGCAGACGCTTAACGACTGAGCCACCCAGGAAATGTTTTATGTAATTTTTTTTGTCTGGTTATTAGTCCAAACCTGTGACCTTTCTGAAGGCTCAGCTGGCTTACTGGTAACTACAGTGTCACCACTGGACACATTCAGTGACACATTTACCACTGAGCCTCAGGTAAAATCATCAGAGAGAAATACAGGAAAGGAAAAGAGTAGGGAGAAAGAATCCTAAATCACACATGAGTGTGCATGCGTACACACACACACACACACACACACGCCTATATTCTTAAAGCCATACAATGCAACATCAAGCACTGTGAATGCAATAGATCTATCTATGCTGATATGGAAATATCTACTAGATATCCTGTTATATAACAAGTCCAAGACATAGTGTGTAAAGTATACTCTCATTTATGTAAAAATTTTTAGGGATTTTATATATATTATATGTAGTCATTTTCATAGAACATATCTGGAAGTATACCCTCAATAAAAGCCTGTTAACAGTGGTTCCTTCATGGAGAGTACTGGAAGTAGAGGGCTGATGTTTAGCTGGTACGTAGTCATTGAAATATTGAAATATTGCCATACTGGTTGTATACAGAGTTGACCCTTGAATAACAATCTTGAACAAGGCCAGGGGTTGGGGCACTGACCCCTATGCAGTCAAAAATCCTAGTATAACTTTAGACCCCTTAAAAATGTTGACCTGGTGGCCTACTGTTGACCAGAAGCCTTATCCATAACATACAGTCGATTAACACATATTCTTTCTAAAAGACTTATTTATTTATTTGAGAGAGAGAGCGCATGAGCATTGGGGAGGAGGGGCAGAAGGAGAGGGAGATTATCCAAGCCCATCAAATGTCCTCCCTGCCACTTTGGTTGCCCAGGTCCTCTTCTGGTCCCCCAGACCTCCTATGATTAAGCAACTAAGGGTTTAATGCCCGGCATAAAGGTAGGAGTGGAGTCCTGCAGGACCCTGTTCCAGCCCTACAGTCCATGTCTATTCTGATTGTTCAACAGTCTTGTCTTACTAGTTGTTAAATATCTTGAGTATTTATCCCCATCGGTGTTCAGCAGGAGAGGCTTTCACTTTTTAAAAGCAAAAGAATATACACCAAGGCATTGTTTACAATAGAAAAAAAAAGAAACAACCAAATGTTCATCAATACACAACTGGCTAAAAATATAATGGGTACAGTTGTAGCATAGAGATTTATACAGTTATGATAAAGAAACTAATCTTAGACTTGTTTTATAGATTTGCCTTAATATAATTAAAATTATGGATTTGCTTTAAATTTGTTTTAAAATATTTGTTTAAACAGATAATCTGGTATTAGAGGAGTGGGCTGGGTATAGATGAATGAGATTAGCCACAAATTGCTAATTGTCCAAGCTGGGTGACAAGTGAGTTCATTATACTGTCTTCCCGACTTTTGTACATTTAAAAAATGTATCCACAGTAAACTTAAGTTTAAAAAACGATGATACGTCTATAGTTAGCAACATTAAAAGAAGCTCATGACATTGTTGATAAAAAGTATATGTAGAATGTATGAATAGTTTCTTCCCACTTATGGAAAATTATATAAATCTGTTTCTTTAGTCTGGAGAGAATTCTAGAAGTTATTAACCAAAATATTTCCAGTGGTCATCATGTTAGTATTTCAGATAATTTTTACTTCCTTAGGCTTTCCTGTATTATGATTTTCTTTACAGTGAGCCTATTTCAATTTAACACACACACACACACACACACACACACACACACACACACAAACCTATTCTTTCTAAATATTAGGAACAAAGCTTCTGTATACAAAAATATCACTAGGGTTTGTAATATTCCTAAACTCAGTTACCAGTTTTTGAGAACCTCATGTGTACAAGGCAGCAGACCGAGAGCTTTTCTGACATGGTCTCATCTCGTGTGCATGACCTCCCAATGAGGCGGAACTCCCATGTCCCTATTTTGCAGATGAAGAAACCGAGACCCAGAAAAGTAAAAGTAAATGTCTTGAGGTCCTGCAGCTATTAAGTAGAGGAGTAATTATGCAAAGTCAGGCCCACCTGACTCCAAAACCCAAGGAAAATCTTAGTAAAGAATGTTGTAGAAGAAAAAAACAAACCCATAATCCTGGTATTCTAACCCAATTTTCCTTTTTTACCATATTCTTTTCTAACTTTTGTGCATATAGGTACATACTTTTACATAATTGTATCCATTGCATATATACCATTTTATATCTTTGTTATTAACCATTTCTTCATGTTCCCACAGGCTTTCAAATAATCTGTTAAAATCTGTGTAAAACTCCCATTGAGTGACTGTGCAATAATTTACCAATCATTTTGGGTTTTTTAACTCCAATTTTTCGTATTATCTATAACATTGTAACAATGATGACATTTTTGCAGTTCCTCTGTGGATCTCCTTCCTCCTTGTCGCGTCGGCCCCTGTGGTGACAGCCACTCAGTTTATCAGTCAGGCCATAAATATTTATCCAGGACCCACTGTGGACAAGTCGCTGGGCCACGCTCCATGGGGACACAGACAATGACCTGGTGGAGTACCGCCCTTCAAGAACCGCACAGTGCGGTTGGTCAGGCAAGAAATAGAATAAAGAAGGCAGTTGCTGGGAGCTGGCCTTGGCCTCTCACCACCTGTGCCAGGGACTCCTGCCAAGTCGCCCAAGCTCAGGATTGGCTCCTGTCCTCTCAGGAAGCAGATGCCAGGTCTGAAGCAGCAGCAGAGCTTCCTTCTTGCCACTGCTACCTCCGCCTTGCAGACTCTCACCTGAATTCTAGCCCTTGTGGCATCGCCTTCTCGGCCTGGGTGCCCCACCCCAATTGCCTCCCTGACCCTGTCTCCCTCAGATCTCCTGACTAGGCCCCCAAGCACACAGAACACAGCTAGATGTGGGGGGCCCTGTCGCCCGGTCTTTAGGCGCAAGCTGTTTACCCAGTCTCTTGGCCGGGGGGCACGCTGGGCCCAGACCTCTGGCGCAGCCCATCCGGCAGGTCTACCTCCACCTGCACATCCTGCCTTTCTCCCAGGGCCGGGTCTCCTGCCCTGGCTCCACAGCCCACTCAGCTCCCTTTCTGATGGCTACCCTCCTGACCACAAGTTCCCCAAGGGCAGGGTGCAAGCGTGCAGTATCCCGCAGCAACTAGAACGGTCCTCACGGCAAGAACCTGTAAGTCTTTTTGCTGTTATTTATTTTTTTTAAGATTCTATTCATTCATTTGAGAGAGTGAAGAGAGACAGAGCACAAGCGGGGGGAGAGGCACAGGGAGAGGGAGAAACGGACTCCCCACTGAGCAGGGAGCCTGACATGGCACTCGATCCCAGGACCCGGAGATCATGACCTGAGCCCAAGGCAGATGCTTAACCATCTGAGGTGCCCCAGTGTTTTTGTTGTTAAATGAGCATTTACAGGCAGCCCAGGAGTCACTTCATTTTGAATCTGTTTCTTCATCTGTAAAATGGACTCTATCTTATGGTTACCTTTGGCTCTAAAAGTCATTAAAACATGCAACTGGGTTTCTCAAGCATTGGTCACGTTACACAAAAAGGTTTGTTTCATTTTTCAGTTGATTCTTAAACAAATTTATTCCAGTGTGCTATTGGAAACCAGCCACTGACTTAGAAATTTGAGATAAATCTGCTGTCGTTGTAATCCCTCTGTGGTTCTGTTGGTTCTCCTAACATTTTTGGGCATTGGTTTTTATTTTCTATCAAATAATCCACTGATATCATTTAAAAAGTAAATTGTGTTATGAGTTTATTAATGAAAAGTTAGCATTTCTGCTCCCCACCCCTCACTTCTCAGTTCTACTCCTCGGCATCCTCCTTAGGGGCAACTATTTTCAACTCTTGAAGCTATGTCTTTTGGAATTTAACTTCATACTTCTCAATAATTTGCGCCCACTCCATTTGTTAATTTTTCAGTTTGAGCCAGTGTCTATTGACTTCTTGGTGTGGTAGACAAGGATTTGGCCCTTATATGCCCTCCCTCCCATCCCCTCCCCCTCTCTGCCAATTGTAGTCCCAATTCACTTTTTGGTTAAATCACTATTAAGTGTTTACATTAATATATATGAGTGTGTACCTTACTATAACCATGTTTACTTTCTTCCATAATATTTTGTAACCTGGAGTCATTATGCAATTTTTATTTTCTTAGGTTTCTATGTTTCTATTGGTAATTTCACCTCAATTGCTCTGTTTCCTATTACAACTGCTCTGTAACAAATGACCACAAGTTTGGTGGCTTAAAACAACACCAATTTATTCCCCTGCAGTTCTGAGGTCACATGTCTGAAATGGGTCTCACTGGGCTAAAATCAAGGTGTTGGCAGGACTCGGTTCCTTCTGGAGGCTTTAGCAGAGAATCATTTCTTTGCCTTTTCCAGCTTCTAAAGATGCCCACATTCCTTGGCTTGTGGCCCTTCCTTGATCACTCTTACCTCCTCTTCCATCACCACATTTTCTTCTCTAATTCTGACTCTCCCTTTTATAAGGAGGTTTATGATTACCTTAGGCCCACACGGATAATCTGGGATCACCTCCCTTCTCAAGATCCTCAACTTAATCATAGCTGCCAGTCCTCTTTTTGCACAGGTTCCAGGGATGGACACATGGACATGTTTGCAGGGAGGGCTCACCATCTGGCCTACCACATGCTCTAACAGACCTGCCAGAGGCCTGTCCGTATTTTCCAACAATCCCCCAGGTCCAAGTCCCGAGTCTCGGGGGCCTTTGATGCATGAATTAGTCCCTTCTGGTTTGTACCCACTTTGCAGGCGTGTAGGCTTCAGCTTCCAATGGCGTGCTGAGTGGGGGAGTTATTGTGTCAAACTTACGTGGACAACCCTTGTACAGTTCTGTCTTCTCTCCCACTCTCCCTGTTCTTGTCAAATTAAACCTGTTTTAATCCTTGAATCAGGAAAAAAGCCAGTCCTTCCTCCTATGTGTCTCTTTTGCTCTCACACGACCACCACACTCACAACACTTATGACACCAGATGTATGTGGGTCTTCCCCCACCAAGCAATTCTCTACAACATCACCTGGGAGTCCTATAATTTACCTCAATTCTGACACTCTACCTGTAGGTAGCTCCAGATCCCACAGGTAAGGACTCAGTCCCGCAAGACTGCACACCACGCCCTGCCCCATCTGCCAGAGATACCAATTGCAAATCCATGTTGTCATCTGTGCTTCTGACCCATCAGTTATAGATCAGAGGTTCTCATGACCCCTTCCTTAGGTGCAATTAATTTGCCTAGAACAGCTCACAGAACTCAGGAAAAGAAGTTACTTGCATTTACCAGTTTATTAAAGGATATGATAAAGGATACAGATGAACAGCCAGATGAATCAGTACATGCAGTGAGGTCTAGGAGGCTCCCAAGCGCAGGGGCTTCTGTCCTCATGGAGTCTGGGTACATCACCCTCCCAATGTGAATGTGTTTGTCAACTCTGAAGCTCACCGAACCCCATACTTCTGGGAGTTTTATGGAGACTTTCTCATGGTATGATCAGTTATTAACTCCATTTCCAGGCCCTCTCCCCTCCTTGCAGCATGGGGGCAGGGACTGAGGCTGAAAACTCTTAACTTTTTAATCATGTCTTGGTTTTTCGGGTGACCAGCCCCCATCCTGGAGCCCACCCAGAGTTGCCTCATTAGAACAATGATGCTCCTAGTGTTCTTATCACTTGGGATTCACGAGGGTTTCAGAAGCCCTGTGTTGGGAACTGGGGGCAGAGACCAATATATATTTTTTCTAGTATCTCACAATCCTATACTATCATTTTAGTGGCGTTCTGGAAAATAAAGAAGATAAACAAGTGTGATCAAGCCTCCCTGTTTATCTGATAGTTGTCTTCCATGCGGACATTTATAATAGGGATTTTTTGGTTTTGTTTTCATGGAGCCAAGAAGGAAGGGTTTTGATCTATAATTCAGGCAGGTGAACAGGAAGGAGAAACTAGGACATTCACTTGCACTATAATTTGAGTAACAGTTAATTTTCTAGGAAATTCTGTGCAAGACCTACCGTAGAAACTTTTTCTTATTTCGGTGAGAGCTAGTGTAGCCTGACGGAACAAGGGCTTGGGAGTCCAGTAGACTTGTGCTTATTCCCAGCCCTGCAACTTGCTACCTCTGTGATCATTCTGAGCCTCAGGATCTTCACCTGTAAAATTGGGATAACAATAATCAATCATTTGTTGTGCATCTGGCTCACAGTAAGCACTCAATGGTGGCAAAATTTAAATTGCTTTCCAGTCAAGTCTACGGGGTACCAAAAGGTGAGATGTTATTCTATAGTCAAGACCTTGCACCAGAGCAACAGCTCCCAGAATCTACCATCTGTGATTTGGACCTTTGCTGGGTCCTTCCTAATTTGTTTCTAAGTGTTTTTGCTTTGACTCTGAATGGTGTAACCCTCTGCTGTTACTTTCCCACTTCAGCAAGAGCCTCCTGATCTAGTGGCCAAGACCGCCTCTGACCTCCTGCCATGTACCCCAACCCTCTCATCTACTGCACCTGCTGGGACCCCTGGAACTTGGGACCACGGAAGCTAATCAAGACCCCTCGGCCACCAACCAAGACCACCGTAGGGAAGCCCAAGTAAGGATAAGGATGGAGATGGACCTGGGGACTAGGTTTCCATTTGTAGGCTTTTTTCTCTTACAATATTTCCAGTCAACTAGACAACAAAATCCCAAGAAGACCAGAAAGCCTAGTTTTCCACAGCTTTTCGAGCCAAACTGTTGGCAGCACATCACTCTTGCCAGTCCTCCTTAGGCTCAGTGTCATTTTTTTTTTCAGTGTCATTTTAAATGAGGAAATCTCAGAGTGAGTGCAGCACGGAAAGGGCGACTTCCAACCAAAGGGCCCCAGAGCCCCCCATGGGGGATGAAGAGCTTTGGGAGCTGGGGGACAAGCTATGCTGCCAACCCCAGGTCCCCCGGAAAGTGAACCGCCTCAAGTAAACCTCCTCCTGCTAGAGACTCCCCAAGACCTTCCTGACTTTAAAGATTTCAGCAGTTGGAACATGTAGTCTAATTTTGGGTAATCATGGCCATCTATGATTAGCACTGGGAGTGCTAAAAGAGGTTTCTGAATTTCTAATTTTCTCTCTTCCATTATTTATTTTTCACTTTCAGGCTAACTCCTCTTCCTCCAGCTGCAAAAAAACAAAGTTGTGTTCAACCAACAACAAAACCTGTTGTTGCCCCAAAGTGAGTATTTTTACCTCCATGGGGGCAAGAATTACCAGAATCTGCTATGATTTCCCCCAAACCTCAGATCCTACATGTAAACTGTGTGGCCCTCTGCACCCACAGCTTTCAAAGTCACAACAAATGAGCTCTCTAGGGTGCCCCTGAGAGCAGCTATTTCCTGCCCTAAAAGGAAACAATATGCGATGCACATCATAGGCAAAGAGCCTTGGGGAGACTCCCTAGCATTTATGGTGGTGACTCCCCTTTTACTTGTTACTTTTCTATGTCTACGGTTTTCTGTAGATTGCAGATCTGCTTTTACTCAAAAATTAAATTTTTATCCATATTTTGTAAACTTAGAAGTATAACTTACTTTTAGCCCTTTGCATGAATCTTTGTATTCAATGTCTTTATTTATTTGGAAAATATTTATTGAGCCCTATTATTTTGTGGGCATTATTTCAGGTGCAAGGAAACAACAGTGAACACAGCAGAGTCTCTGCTCCTAGAGTTTACATTCTAGTGGGGAGAATAGATTTATACAAGTTCATACACTCAATGCATCAAGGGCTAGGTAGAAAATAACACAGGCAAAGGGAGGTGGGGATGCTGAGGGTGGGGTTGTGATTTTATATAGGGAGTGCAGGGCCACCCTTGTGTAAAAGGGACAGCAGAAGCCTGCTGATATCTGGGGCTAGCACTCCTGGCAGAGGGAAGAGCAGGTACAAAGGCCCTAAGTGGGAACCCGTTTGGCACATTTGGTCTTTTCCAGGAAAGCATAGAGACCCATGTGGCAGCAGTGGAGGGCATAAGGAGACAGTGGTGGGGAATGAGGTCAGAGAAGCAATGGAGAGGATGAACATCGATGGCAGAATAATGGCCCCCCAAAGACATCCACATCTTAATCCCCGGAAACTGCGATTATGTTCTGTTACTCATCAAGGGGGAATTAAGGTTGCAGATGGAATGATATTTGCTAATCAGCTGACTTTGAGATGGACAGATCACCCTGGATTATCTGGGTGGGCCCAATGTCATCACAAAGGTCCTTATGCTAGAAAGAGGAGATGTGATGTGGTCATTGGCTTTGATGGAAGAAAAAAGGCCACTAGGAACACAGGAAGCTTCTAGGAGCTGGAAAAGGTGAGGAAACAAATTTTCCTGTGGAGGCTCTGGGAGGATTATAAGCTTGTCAACACCTTGATTTTTAGCCCAGTGAGACCCATTTCAGACTTTGGCCTCTAGAACTGTAAGGTAATGAGTTGGTTTTGTTTTAAGCCACTGAGCTTGTAGTAATTTTTTGCAGCAGCAATAGGAAACTCATACAGTAAAGTTTTCTGGACAGTGTAAGGACTCTGGCTTTTACTTCCAAAGGGACAGTGTATTCGCTGCTAGGCCCGCCATACCAAAACAAACAAGCAAGCAAGCAAACAAAAAAACACAGACTGTGTGGCTTATGCAACAGAAATTTATTTTCTCACAGTTCTAGAGGCTGGAAGTCAAAGGCCAATGTGCCCACAGGGTTGGTTCCCTCTCGGGACTCTCTCCTTGGTTTGTAGATGGCCACCTACTGGCTGCCTCTTCATACGGTCTTTTCTTTGGGGGTGCACATCCCTGGTGTCTCTCTGTGTGTCTGACTCTCTTGCAAGGACACCAGTAAGGTTGTATTAGTGCCCACCCTGAGGGCCTCATTTAACTTAATCCCGCTCTAAAGGCCCTGTTTTCAATACTGTCACATTCAAAGGTATTGGGGGTTAGGGTTGCAACATATGAAATTTTGGTGGACACAAATTTTCAGCCCATTGTAGATGGGAAAACATCAGAGGGTTCTGAGAAGAGTGACATGATCCAACTTGCATTTTGAAAGGACTGTTTTGGCTACTATGTTGAGAATGGACTACAGTGACCAAGGGCAGAAGCAGGGAGGCCAATTACATCTTATCTAGATGTAATTCTGGGGACCCAAGCAAGAGAAGATGGTGCTTAGGCCTGGTGGAAACAGCACAGGTGGAGAGAAGTGGTTGCCTTTGAGATATATTCTGAAGGTAGAAACCAGTAGGATCTGCTAATGGGATGGGTGTTAAGTAAAAGGAGGAGTCAAGGATGACTTCAAGATTTGGAGCTGAGCAACAGGAAGGACGGAGTTGCCATTTTCTGCAACTGGGGAAGACTGCGGGAGGTGCACATTTGTAGGGGTTTGAGCATAGAAAGTTCCAGATGCCTCGTACTATCCAAGGGGCAATGTCAAGTAAGCAGTTGGATATGTGGGTCTGGGAGAGAGGTCTGGGCTGCAGATACACATTTGACAGTCATCAGCATATACAGGATACTTAGAGCCCTGGGCCCAGATGAGATCTTCAAGGCAGGGAGTGGAGCCAGAAGTAGGAAGAGGTGGGAGAACAGAGACCCAGAGCACTCCAGTGTTGAGAGGTTGGAGAGACCCCAAAAGGAAGACTGACAAGGAGTGGTCAGTGAGGTAGATGAAGCCTCCTGTGGAGGCTCTGGGAGGATTATAAGCTTGTCAACACCTTGATTTTTAGCCCAGTGAGACCCATTTCAGACACACTACCTGGGGGTAGCGAATGGCCTGAAGGTCACTGGTGACAGTGAAAAGGATTGTTTCAATGGTGGAGGTGATAAAGTCTGATTAGAGGGGGGGACGCATTCATAGAAAGGGGTCAATTGAATGGCCGTGTAGGTGAGCTGGTTCCTAGTGCCTGCCTTCTGTGTGCTAGCTAGCACTCCTGGCATGATCACATCTGTAGGCCTTATCTGACCCCTATTCATAGTCAAGCTCAAGGCCCCAGTCCCCCAGTGCCTCTTGTTGGGAGCGACCTCACTCATATCTACTCTGCCCACCAATTAGCCCCTGCTAACACTGTCCTGGTCCTGCTTTGCAATATGGTGAGGGACACTTTGTGGGTACTTTTAAAATTCCAAGACCTGTTCACTGTATTTATAACTTTCTAGTGAGACCCTACTGGGGCTCCACATCAGCCAGTCTCCAAGTCCTGCTGAGTCAGCACTGAGTGAGGCTGGGAAATGGAGCAGGGGGGAGCCAGGAGGGCCTCACTCTCAGGAAGGGGCTCAGGTAGACGTTGACATGACCTACAAATGGGAACATGAAAAATCTGTTCACCAGTCAACTTTTAACTTGGGCCTCCAGCCTCAAACACACAGCTCTATGAATTACGTCATTTTTGCCAATCCTATAATTTTCTTGCAAACATACCATGTACTTTTTGTATTTCAAAAGTTTTCATTCTTACATGTGAACTGTGACACAATTGTCATAACCTTGTTTCGGCAATTTTTTTTTTTTTTTTTTTTTTAATATATCAGTCGCCTTGAAAAATGGCAGTACGCTGACTGCTCTCAACTCCTGGGAGACACAGTTGGCAAATTGCTTTATCTGCAATTTTTATAGCACTTAACTTTTTCTTCTTCTATTTTCAGTATTTATGTGCCCCCCCCTTTTTTTCTCTTATTAAATAAAAAGTATCACATCTCATTCCATTTCTCTTGGTATGGAGCACTGTGGTTTGCATACATTTACCACTCATTGAATTCATTAAATGAGAAAACATGAAGCCCTTTGACTGGCATCAATAAAGTCTCAAATTTGGTTCATGTAATCGGAGTAATCTGAGTAGATTGACAAGGAAAAACAAGAGTCAAGGAAGAGTCATTCTGGAACGACCACACCTTTTACTTTTCAGAGCGTGAAATACAATCCCAACAAAATAAGTGCCTATAAGCCACACTCGGACCCTTGGAGCAGTTCTGAAGTGAGTGCGATGTTGAGGAAGGTCTCTGCGCTCAAGGAGATCTACCACCAACAAAAAAAAAACATAAACTCAATCCATGGTCAGCTTTTTAAAGACCCAGGGTACTCAGTGATTCCCCCACCACCATCACCCCAAGGCTTCCCTAAATTCAGAGTAAGCAAAAAAATTTGCATCGTAAAGAGTTTCTGGTTTATGGATGGGAGCATATGGTTGATAGGAGTTGAGTTGTATTTTAAGTGGTTTTAAATCTTTTTTAAAAAGATTTATTTATTTGAGAGAGAGAGAGAGAGAGCACACAAGCCGGGGGGGAGGGGCAGAGGGAGAGGGAGAAGCAGACTCCCCACTGAGCCGGGATCCCAATGTGGGACTCGATCCCAGGACCCCGAGATCATGACCTGAGCCCAAGGCAGACACTTAACCAACTGAACCACTCAGGTGTCCCTTGAATCTGAATTTTTAAAAAAGATTTATTTATTTTAGAGAGAGACAGGGGGTGGGGGCAGAGGGAGAGAGAGAATCCCAAGCCAACTCCCCACTGAGCACGGAGCCTGACTCAGGGCTCCATCTCAGGACCCTAAGATCATGACTGAGCTGAAACCAAGAGTCAGGTGCTTAACCAACTGAGCCACCCAGGCGCCCCAGTGGTTTTAATTCTTTTAAATTTAATTAGTTTAAATTTAAAATTCTTTTAAATTCTTTAAATTTAAATCTTTTAAATACATGTAAGTCCCATTGTATTATCTTTTTTAATTTAGATTTTTTTTTCTTGTTAGTGAGAGAGAGAGAGCAAAAGCAGGGGGAGCGGCAGAGGGAGAGGGAGAAGCAGACTTCCCGCTGAGCAGGGAGCCCGATTCGGGACTCGATCCCAGGACCCTGGATCATGACCTGAGCTGAAGGCAGACAAACCGACTGAGCCACCCAGGCATCCAGCCCCATTGTATTATTAGTGTATATTGTGCATTCATGCCCATTTTTTACCCCAAAGAGTAATGTATTTGCCAGTTAAAAGGTTGGTGGTCTGGAGTAGACAAATCCTTGGGCTGGTTTTCTCAAGAGAGTTTTCACTGCTTCTCTGGAGGCCCCTTTTCAGGGTGGGAGATATGGGATCAAAACCAGACTTTATTAACCCAGGTGGAACTGCCTCCACCAGGAAAAATCCTCCCAACCCCACACCCCACACCCAGCAGACTTGGGAACAGTCTCATCGGGGTAACCACTCCACGACCCTTAAAGATATTGTGTTTGATCATGGGAAAAATGGAATTCTTAAAGCAGGCTTCAGTTGTCTCTCTTCACAGCAGTTGCCTGAAGGAGGGGTGGAGGGGTGTGTGTGTGTGTGTGTGTGTGTGTGTGTGTGTGTGTGTGTTGAGGCAGAGGGAAGAGGCCTAACTATTCTTGTCAGCACATCAGAAGCTAGTTACTCTTATTCCAATCTTTCAACCTTCCAGGTTAGCTCCCTTACAGCTACTCTTGATATGTGGACACCAGATACGTTCATGTTTCTGCACTTGAAAACAACTAATTATGACCAGGATTAACACCGGATCTCAGAATAGTAACCATTTGCTTATCCTGAATTCACTTCACTGACCATTTCAGGTCCCATATCACCAATTTCTGGGGCAAATAAGAAAGGCTTTTGTGCAGACAATGTAAATGTTCCTCATGTGTGCATTTGAGATTATGCGCCATGGGAGCCCTTTGGATTCTCACGCCAAGTCTCCTGGCTCTTATTTTAGGAGTGGTTCTAATAGGCATGATTAGTCAATTCCCCACTTTTTTACTACCTGCCTTTTGATCACAATCTGTATGCCAATGATCCCTGGACCATTGAACATTCCCTAGTCCCTGAGTAGAACACTCTGAGAGCTGAAAGGGGCCTCAGAGATCATTCTGGTAATGTCACTTTTTACAGATGGGTGGGATCAGGGTGTAGCTTCTAAGCTTTGAATGTTTCCTTGCTCCCTGGGTGCTTTCTGAGCATGCCTTTTTCTTGCAGAGTGACAGTCGATTTAGGAAAACAAGAGGAGAGCAACACATTACCTAATGTGAGTAAAAACAGCAAGAGGGCCATGGGACTAACATTTATTGAGTGCCTGCTGTGTGCAGGCATAGGCCTTTTACACGTACCTACCTCACTGAATCTCTGCAATGATCCTCTGAGGAGGGGCTATAATTACTGCATATAACGTAGCTGGTAAGTGGCAGAAAAGCCAGACCCGAGAGAGGGCGTCTAATTACCATGCTCTACTGCCTTGTGTAGGGCAAGGAGAGTGTGCCGGGGAAACCAGGCACTGACAACCGGTCCAGGCCAGGGTCCAGCTCATGCCCACACGTCACACACTGCTGCCGCACTTGGGAGCCCACACATGTGGGGGGGAGGGGCATCAGGGCGCTGAAGGGGAGCAGGGCCAGGACCCTGCTAGAGAAAGAGATGGGGACTAAACCCGAAGGATCTTGATAGCTGCCAAAGAGTTTGGGCGTAATCCTTCTGGTGTCTGGGAGCCTTCACAGGTCTGACACAGGTCCAGCACCAGGTAAGATTTACCTTCTAGAAACAAACATTATTTGATGGGATATTATTGATGCTTTTTACTACTTTCTGCTTTTATCTATTTTCTTCCCCCCCCTTTAACAAAAATCATGTGGTTCCTTAATAGTCAGGAAAAAGTAATAAACAAACAAAAATGTAATTGCCCTCCAGATGGAGAGGATGATGAACTTTTGGGAAGCCAGAATGAAGGCAGAGAGGCCAGCTGGGAAGGTATGGCCAAAGCCAAAGAGAAAGGTGAAGGTGGCCTCGGGCTCTGCCAGGGACAGGAGTATGGAGAGAAGAGGAAGTTGGGATACATTTAGGAGATAACAGGGCTAGTGGTGCCTAGGGCTGTCCTGCACACCTCGAGAAGGCACTGTCTCACCCTGGTCCCCGCCGGCTGGGAACCCTGCCAGATTCCTGACTTTGATCTAGTGGGGAACAGAGGAAGAACTGACCAAAATAGGCCTGTTTGTTTGTTTTCATGACTGTGCTAGACAGTTTCTCATGTTATTTTGGTTTTCCTCACAAAAGTCCTTGGAGGAAGAGTTATTATCCTCCTTTTCTGATGCGGAAACTGAGGCACACAGATGTTGAATAACTGTGGTTGGAGGCAGAGCCAGGATTTGAACACAGGCCTGTCTAGTTCCAAAAACTGAGCAATTTCCGTGGCACCTGACTTCCTCCTGGCCTCTGGCCATGTGGAGAATGCAGAGGAGGTACAGGGCTTGGGGCAGAGTGCCTAATGGGGCGTCCGCAGTTAAGTTTTCCACACGTGAAGCTTGAGGGATCTTTGGGGACATCCATGAGCCGCTTGAGTCTTGCACCTGGATCTCAGGAGAGACATCTGAGCTGGAGGTATGAGGGTGAGTGGTTTCTGGGGAAGGGCGCAGGAGAGACGTGGGCTCTGGAATCCCACCCCCCGTCTTTTGTTTAAGATGTGAGTAGCACTCTAGTGAAAGGTTTAGAGGAATCTCAGCACTCCAAGTCTGCAATATTATCTCACCTTCCACCTTGATGCCCAGGAAGTGATACATGTGTCACCTGGCTATCGCCTCATTCGAAATAGGGAGCAGATTTACGTCACCTTGGGAGATGAAATGTTTGATAAGAAAAAGCAGTCGAAATCAGAGATCATGGACAGAATCAAAATTTCCAGGTAATACCCTTGGACCCATATATCCAGCTCCTCAGAGCTATCCCCACTGGGCTTGGGCTGGCCTCAAGGAGAAGCCCCTAACTCCCACGCCCAGTCCACCGAGTCCCTGTTCGAAGCCCCTAACTCCCACGCCCAGTCCACCGAGTCCCTGTTCGAAGGTAGTGCAAGGTCCCTTCACTCCTCATCCCCGTGAGCTCCTCTCCACGCCCGCCTCTCTGCCTGATCCCGTTAGAGACAGGATGAGGGTCAAAGCAGGAAGCTGATCTGGAAAATGACCGGGTGTAGTATAGTTTGTACTAAAGGAAAGCAATTGTTCCTAGAGTGATGAACAGATGAAATATTCATAAAATAGTATAGTCTGAATTTGGAAGGTGAAAAGTCAGAGTAAAGTCAGGGTTTCTGGGGGCTGAGATGCATCTCTTACTCATTATGCCCAAAGATCACTTAGTCCATGCTTCTGGGAGGCACAGTGTGGAAGACTCTGGCTGAGTCCCCCCCAGTGCCATCCTCTCTGTCATTCAGGCCCTACCCACTCGATCCTCCAATGCCATAGAAAGTCAGTTCTCACGTCTTTTTCCATTCTAACTCCTAGGTCTCTCATTCATGTCTCTCCCTCCCTATCTCCTCCTTCATCCTCTCTCCTGTTTCCTCGCCCTCTTGAATGGAGGACCTCATCTCTGCTGCCCCACACACAGCACCGCCCGCTGCCCTGTCCACTCCAGCTCAACCAAATAGAGCTAAATAAGTTCCAGACATCATGGAGGCTTCAGACCCGGAAACACAGAACAATCGTTATCTATTCTGAAACCATGCTCTGAAATCCCCTCTTCATCCTGTGTCTGAACAATTCCTTGTCTATGTTCACTGTCAGCCTCGATCCCATCCCCCACCTTCCCATCTCCCAATCCCCTGAATTCTTCCTCCTCCATTTCAACTGTCATTACTGAATCAGAGTCAAACCCTCACAGATTTCTGGCATTTTCCTTTCTATTCAACAGGTAACCAATCCACTCCTCCACCCTACTGCCCTTCCCCCCACTTCCGGCTAGCTTACCCAAAAGGGCTGGGTCTGAGGCTCAACCACCCTGCTGCCTGATTCCCTCTCCCAGACTACCCTTCCACCCTGGCCCCCACCCCCATGATGATGCAGCCAGTGCAGAACATGGCCTGGCTCTCACCTGGCTCCCTGCCAGAGACAGTCACAGACAAGGAGGTGCCTGACTGGCACGGAATGGAAACTCGGTGGGTGATGGAAGGATGATTTGTCCTGTAGGACTGATATCATTACTGACCTCGAAGAGCAGATCTCAGAGCTGACTGTGATCATTGAGCAAATGAACAGAGACCATCTGTCTGCCCAGAAATTGGTGAGTGATCCTTGAGTTAGTCGACATCTCTATGGGTGGGGGAAAGACCAGCTTTTTCAGATCAGCTGCTATGTTCCAGGCAAGACACCAAGCACTTTACTCGTGGGAGCTAACTCAGTTTCCAGGAGTTCTTCAGGTGCTTCCAGTGTGTTCATTGCCACAAACTCACCACACCAGGGGGTGGCGGCCATTTCCCCTCGGGCTTGCTGTGGCTCAACTTCAGAGAGTGCTAAGGCTCTTCCTCATGGCAACAGTGCGGTTAATGCATCCACCATGGTCCAAAAGCTGCCCAGAAGCCTTCAGTACCCACTTCCCATTGCTGTTAAAATTGCCAAAGCCTACTTTGGAATCTGCTGATGTCAGCTTGCACCCTCCATGTTTCCTGGGGATTTTGGTGACACTTCCTTTAGATTTTACCATCTGTTTAATAAAAGTCTCTTCTTCCCCACCTCAAGCAGGGGTGCCTGCTGGCCTGGGCTGGAGTGATAAACCTGAGCAATGCTCAAAAACAGCCTCCCCCATGCCCCACTTGCCTGTGGTTTTTGAAACTCACTTGTGAAGGTCACTTTCCAGCAGGCCTGCCCTTCAGTAGCGATGTGCTCTCTGGGACTGCCGAACACAAACAGGGGAGGCAGAGGGGTAGGGCATACCCCATGAATGGGAAGGCTTCTCAGAAATTGCAGCTTGCGTGGGAGTGGGGTCCTCCATCCTATATTGTTAATGCCGGCCTTGTTTCCAGCTCTCCGATGAAATGGCTCTCCACTGTGCTGAGATGCAGGAGAACTTCGAAAACAAGAACAAGTATGCTTTCTGGACAAGCCCTAAGGCTTCTGCTTCCCTGTGGGAGGGATGTCAATTCACTGGGATTTCAGACGGTGCCAAGTGGAGCTGGGTGGGCACAGGTGGGGGAAATGGGCAGGACGGTTTGATTTGAAGCCACCCAAATGTAGCCCAGAGAAGGTTGTTCCTGGCGTTGCACTTTCTCATCCCATCACTTCCTTTCAATTATAATCTCCCTTTTTTTTTTTTTTTTTTTTTTGGTGATTGCTGAGGAGAGCCATTTTTTGTTCTCTATGAGAGTTCTGTGGTAAACAACTGATGTTCTCAGCCCAGGCACCTCCTCCCATTTCCCCTGCCTCTCTACTTCCTCCCCCTCTTTCTCTCTCTTTTTTTTTTTTTTTTTTTTTTTTTTGGCCTGTCGTCTCTACTTTCCTTGGCCGCTCCCGGGCTGTGGGCAGAATGGGAAGAAGGTATGGGAGGGGCAGCAGAGTCACAAAGACAAGCGGAGGGGAAGTAAAAGGAGGTGTATTGTCTTGTGGGTGAGGAAACCTACAAAGCCCCCACATGCTGGGCACCGGAGCCGCCTCAGGAGTCCTGGTGGAAAGAAGTACACATGGTTGAGTCATAGCCTTGCTTTCAAAAAATAATGAGTAACTTCTTGGTTTTATAATAGATTTCATTATTTTTTCAGAGCAGTTTAAGGTTCATAGTAAAATAGAACATAAAGTACAAAGAATCGCCATAGACAGGCTGAGCCCACACTCCCACAAGCTGAGTAATCTTCCTGCACCCCTCTGGTGCCTTTGTTACAGCTGATGAACCTACATGGGTACATTATTATCACCCAAAGTTCGTAGTTTACATTAGGGTTCACTCTTGGTGTTGTATACTCTATGGGTTTTGACAAATGTATATTGACAGTGTCCACCGTTATTGGGTCATGCAGAGTAGTTTCACTGCCCTAAAGATCCTCTGCGCTCTGCCCATTCATCCCTCCCTCCCCAGTAGCCCCTGGCCACCACTGATCTTTTTACTGCCTCCATAGCTGTGCCTTATCCAGAATGTCATATAGCTGGAGTTGTACAGTATGTAGGCTTTGTGGATTGGCTTTGGCCACTTACTAATATGCATCTCATGTTCCTCCATGTCTTCTCTTGGCTTGGCCGCTCAGATAGCCTCTCACTCCCCTCAACTTGAACACTGCCAGCTTCTGCCTCCTGGAATGGAGGTTAAAGAGACCTTGGGCCCGGGGCACCTGGGTGGCTCCGTCAGTTAAGCGACTGACTTGCTTTCAGCTGGGGTCATGCTCTTGGGGTGGTGGGATCGAGCCCTGCTCCAAGCTCTGGGCTCAGTGGGGAGTCTGCTTGGGATTCCCTCTCTCCCTCTCCCACTGCTCTGCACCACCCCCCAAATAAATAAGTAAATCTTTAAAAAGAGAGAGAGACTTTGGGCTCTAAAATTATCCTGGATGCTAACACAGCCCACAGATTCCCAAGACAGCCATAAGCAAAGACTCTGCTCTTAGCAAGGAGTCATGGCCCCCCTGGCTCCATTCAAATAATGGTTGGTAAAAACCAGTCTTCTCACCTTTTTCTGGGTGGATGCCAGGAGAAACGCATGAGGAAGCGAGGGCCCTGCAGGCTGCCCACAGCTTCCTATGTGAGAGTAGGATCCACTGAGTGTAACGGCTCAGCTCTGGACTTCTTTTCACGGATTGATGATTGTAGCCTTTTCCCCGGGTCACACAGGGAGCTCAAAGAGGCTCACGCAACAGAGCTCAGTCAGTTGGAGAACAACTACAAAGCATCATTGAAGGCAGAGAAGCTGGCTGCCCAAGAAAAACTAGGTACTGTCTGGACTGGGGAGAATGACCCTGGTGAAGGGCGAGAGGCTGACCATGGCGGTGGATGGGCTGTGCTAAGCTTTCCAGATGTCCTTCTAAAGCTCAGGGAGGGGGAGTGACTGAGAATGAAACTGCAAAGAGGGAAACCATGTCACCAATGTCCTTCCTACACCCAGGAGATAGACTGGCCTGTGACCAAGTGTTGGGATCTGAGCAAGTCCCTTAATCTCGTTTATCCCATCTAAGAATTGAGAACAATAATACCCGCCTCCATCAGAGAGAAAAGACTGTGAAAGCACTTTTTAAAATATATTTTTTAATTCTATAAATATACTATTATAATTCAGCAAGTTACCTCACCTGTGAAATGATGGTGTTTCATTATATTTTAATGGACACACTATGATTTGTATGGCCTTATAATACATTAGGGTTGTGTTGGCCGTTTATCCCATTATTTATGCTACCCTTGGGAAGGGCAAAGTGTATATCCTTCAGAATTCTGAGGTTATAGACTAATCTCTACAGGGAGAAGGAGAAATTCTGTAATCTTCTCTCTTTCCTTTGCCTTACATTTTTAAAAGCTTTTTTTATAGCTTATATATTATAAGCTATATATTTTATAGCTTACATATTATAGCTAAATAAAGCTTTATAGCTTTATTTATAGCTTGCTGATTTTCCAATTTTCTAAGGAGAACATTTATCATTTTCAAAATCAATGTACGCTAGGAAACATTATTTTAAAAAGAGAGAAGCAGATGCATACTACAAAGTTTTGCGCCTCTTTTCCCCCCAGGGATTAGTTCTCACATTTGGTGTGCATCAGTATCACCTAAAAAGCATATTATCAACAGATATTGGGGCTCTGAGACCAAAATTCAGTAGGTTTGGTCGGGGTGGGGGGTGGGCAGCACAGGCATTTGGATTTCTAATAAGCTTCCAGAGTGATTTCAAAGGTACAAGATGGTTTTAACACGTAGAGGATGAGTTTGAGGTGGAAAAGGTATACAGGAGAGCTCATACTTGGCTTTGAAAACATGCAATTCAGAGGAATAATGATGACCCTGTTGTTTTCCTTTTGTCCAGATGAGATGGAAAAGGAATATAAGTATTTGAAGAATATGTTTCATATGTATCAGGTGAGATTCAGAGCTCCTTGGTGGATTATGAAAGTAAGAGAGGCAAGGCTCATTCCTGGCTGATGACAGTGGGCTAAGTCTAGAACTCTTGCCCAGAAAATCATGTCCTGAGATTCCCAGCATCCTTGGACCTAGGTAACACTGAGTACACCCGGGGAGAAGCGTGAACTGTGGACTGTGGTGGTTTCCATGTGTGACAAGTCAGTCTCTCAGACGCCAAAGAAGCCCGTTGAAAAATATGTTTGTGATTACAAAAGTCATACCTGCTCATTGTTTTTTAGAAAATGGAAATACAAAAACCAACTACAACAACAGCAACAAAAAAGAAAGAATAATCACCACCCCAAGACAACCACTCTTAGTGTTTGTACTTGGTAACACCTTTGATTTTAGTGGAGTGCTGGGTCAAAGGGATAAACATTTTAAAGGCCTTTGACACATTTGGCCAAATTACCATCCAAAAAGACTCTATCACTGCACCCCCCACAAGCAGAGCATGGGGTGCTCTGGCCATCTCAGAATATAACTCATTCATTTAAATTGGTTAATCTGATGGAGCCGCAGGGAAACAGGCCATGATTTCTTCCTGGGGGGGTGAGAGAGTGGAGAGGAGAGGAACGGACAGAACAGACGGAAGCAGCAAACCCCCATCCTATTGTGACCAGCTGGTCATGGTTTGCCTGGGACTTTCCAGATTTTAGCATTGAATGTTCAGAGACCCAGGACACACATTAGTCTCAAACAAACAAGGACAGTTAACCACCCTATAAAAGGAGAAAACCAAGTTAAGCACCAGCACCACCTCTGAAATTCTATTTACCACAGTTTCACTTTTGAGCTTCTATCTAAAACTTGTTTTTCAAGATGTATCTTGATACAGTCAGGGAAGACATCATAGAGCAAAGCCTAAGAGAAGCATCAGGTTGATGCCCCAATTTCCTAGGTAGGCCTTAATGTTTGCTTCAGTCTGGACCTCTCCAGAGAGCTTGACCTCTATCTGCCCACGAGTCTTGAAAATGATGAGAGACAAACTTTATCTAAATGGCCACAAGCAATTACAAATGAGCTCTGATGCCTGGCCCCCGTGTGAATTGTACCGCTAACTTGGAAAAAAGGGGGTCAGGGTCCTGAGACCTTACTGGCAGCATCCAGGTTCTAGGCCTTCTTCCTCCTGACGTCCCACTCCCATGAAGTCTGAGCCAACCAATAGGACTGGCATCGGGTTAGGCTTATTTAACCTCAACCACAAAGGAAGCTGGATTTTCTGAGGAAGAATAAACACACTCTGGAAAATCATGCCATTGTTTTCTAAGTGTTCAAATTAACTACTAGGCATTTCCCTTGTTTCTCCATGGACTACTGATGAGTGATTGATGATGCAGGGAGCTGGCACGTGAATCTTCGACAGGAGAATCCTACATGTCCTCAAAGAAAACCCAGTTCCAGTGGGACAAACACGAGGCAGAGCTTGCCCTTGACTTTGAGGGTTCTGCAGGCTCGCAGGTGGGCTGGGCTAGAATTTGCTGCCACCAGCCACCCACAGAGGGACTCCTAGCAAGCATTCCAGGTGAGGGAAGCTGCAAAGGGCCCTATGCTGTGCCTGGAGCTGGTGTGCAGCCTTTTTCAGGACCCTTTTCTTCATGGTGCCTTTGTGCCTCCACAGGACAGCGTTTATGATGAAATGGAGGACAAGTGGTCGAAGAAGAAGGCAGAATGGGAAAAGGAGGAGAAGTTAGAGCGGGAAAAGATCCTGCTACAGCAAAGTGAGTACAGAAATTTCTGTCTTTTTGATGGCACGTGCACCAAAAAAAACCCTGCCATTAAGTTTGGTCTCGACTAGAAAGGCAGCCTTGGATCCACTAAGGGTGACGGCCACATGGCTGGACTCCTGAATCAGAAGTGCATGGAGTTTTCAAGAAAGTGACAACAAGGATGGAGTCTTTATAAAGTTCAGGCACTTGAGGGTCTAGGCCTGTACCTTCCAAAGCTCACTCGTTCCAAGTTTGGCCATCACGTGCTGGAACAAGCTCTGGGACATCTGTAGGAGTGCTGACTTGTTACCTGGATACAAGTGACCCCAAAGTTCCAGAAAAGATGTTCTTGAATTAGAGTTTCAAATATTCACTTGTTGGGGGAGGGACAACACAATCTATTATCCTGAGAGCCTCTGGATTCCCGCACCACCCCCAAAAAGGATCTCAATCTTTGAGACACAATTGACATATAACATTGCATATGTTTAAAATGTACATGTTGATTTGATCCATTTATATATTACTTTATATTTTTAATATTTCCAACACCTAGCACAGAGTTTGGATCATAGAAAGTGATTTATAGATGAGCCTTCTACCCACTCCGAGCATTTTCATAAATGGAAAAAGGAGAGAGGAATTTACAGAGACTCTGCTTCCTGACCTAGAGGACTGGTTGAGGTAGGAGTAGGGCCTCTACAAACCTATACCACATCCTGCCTCAACCCAGTTTGTATCAGATTTGTTTGATTTCAACAAATTACTCATTTAAGTGCAGAAACCCCCTGGGGAAGTAGATCCTCAAGGCCATTCCCACCCCACTGGGGACTCTGACTGCCAGAGGCAGCATGAAGACCCTGGCATTAAGCTGAGGGAAGGAATGCAGAGCTGCACCTATTTGAGGCTTTAGCTAGGACCCTGGTATGGCGGGACCCTGTCTTCTTCCAGACTTCGAGCTTCCCATACTATACCCATTCCATGTTGTCAAAATCTAAGTTAAGATGTTCACTCAGGGGGCGCCTGGGTGGCTCAGTCGTTAAGCGTCTGCCTTCAGCTCAGGTCATGGTCCCAGGGTCCTGGGATCAAGCTCCGCGTCCGGCTCCCTGCTCCGCGGGAGGCCTGCTTCTCCCTCTCCCACTCCCCCTGTTTGTGTTTCCCTCTCTGTTTCTCTCTGTCAAATAAATAGATGAAATCTTTAAAAAAAAAAAAAGATGTTCACTCAGTTTTGAAAAAGCAGATTTTAGCTGTGCACAGCATAGCTCAGCCCAGACCCATCCTGTGAGCCTAGAGGTTGCCTCCCTATCCATCCCCAACACAATGAGGCTGCGTGTCAGCCACCCCCTACTACCCCCTGTTTGGTATTGGGCCTCTGTTGGCAAGCTCCCCTGCACCAGAAACAGTTTAAACCTATCTCTACCCCAGGGCTAAGTACAGAATAAATATTTATGCTGGAGGTATCACATTAGCCAAGAGCTGTATTTTAAGGTAAGGATATTGAAGAAAGCATACTGGTTACTTCGGCGGTGAGAATGGACAAAATAATAATCAAGAGATCTAAAATAAATTACACATACACAGAAAAATCAGAGACATTGGGGCAAGTCCCATATGACTGACATCCCTGAAAACCAGTGCCATGTTCACCTGACTCTCACACATCTCCAGGTAAACGTCAGAAGCCGAACACCAGGCTGAAAGGAACTTGAGTTTGACCCAGTCCAGAATTTCTATTATCTTCAAACATTTGGAGTTTCCCTCGCATCTGCTTTCCCCACATTTCCTCATACGTGTAATTTCTTCTCACCTCCACAGAACATAAAATGACAAAAAAGTTTGAGTTAGAGTCAATAGAAGAAAAGAAGAAAATAAATGATTCCTACAGTGCCATCTTTGAGAACTTCATTCGAGAGAAGGAGGTAACTTAGGCCCCATGCCCGTGAGGGGTTGAAGGTGCAGCCTCGCTGAGACATCCGGGTCCCAGGGGTGTCTCTGTAATTAGGCGAGCTTTTTGTCTTTATGGGCATATTCCTCCTTTCCCAGCTTCCCTGGAAATGTACCCAAGCGGACCGGCAGTCTTGCTGTCCTTATCTAGACAGTCTTACCACAGGGTCATGGTGGAATGAAAATTTGAACTAACAGGGAATAATAGAATGCTAAACACATACAGAACTCGGAATTCCCTATTTTGCCAAAACCCCAGTCTCTGAATGCTCCTCCTCATCCTTGACTGGAGCTGAAGAGAAAGGGCAGTGGAGCAAACTAAACTAAGCAAGTTTGGTCATGTACAGCTCTGAGTAAATAAGAGGAGCTACCTCAAAGTTAGAGGGGGGTGAGGGTGAGCTACTCCTGTTCATCACTCCCCCACCACCTTGATACTGCTACCAGGTCATCGTGAAAGCAGGTCTCAGACATATGGGCATTTACTAAACAAACCTGCATTAGCAAGCAGGCCCCAAGCGCTTATACCACCAGCTCTCTGAGCTTTTCGGTCCATGAAAGATTCATTGGAGTTATCTGCAAAGGCATGACAGGGATAGGATTCTGCAACTCCTGGAGTCAGCCTCAGGCAGCCGGGGCACCTCCTAAGCAGACATAGGACCACCTAGGAGTCAAGTCTTAGACGCCATTCCTGAGTGCGCAGCCTACAGGTTTTGTTAGATTCCTGTACTCTTTTCCTGCAAAGTGGACCGTGTCTCTAAAATAGTATCTACCTTGAATATTCCATTTTTAAGAGCCCATTTCCAATCATCATGCTAATTAAAAAGCCACTAATTTCACCAATCAAATCCCATTTCTGGCATTCACTATAACTGAGCAAGACAGTAATGAGGATATGGGGCATGCTATGCAGTGTGGCTAGCGCTTCTGGGGTCTGGAGGGCTCAGACATCTGAATAAGGAGGAGCAATTCCTCTAGTGGGGAGAGATTTGATCATCTGCATGCATCCTTTCCTCTCTCCTATTTTCTCTCCAGTGATGCTGACTATAAATCTGTAAATGCTGCTCTGTGTCTCACTCTCTTTCTCATGAAAGTATAGTTTACAATTAACAAAATGCACAGATCGTAAGTATACAGTTTGATGAGTTTTGACAAATGTACATATCTATGTAACCAACACCCAGGTAAAGATCTAGAGCATTTTATCAACCCCAAAATCGCTCTTGTATTCCTTCCCAGTTTTAAGCCCTCTCTCCCTCAAAACTTGCCCCAAGACAACCACTATTTTGATTCCTACCACCATAGATTAGTTTTACCTGTTTTTAAGCTCCATATAAATGGAATCATGCACTATATGCTCTTTTGTATTTAGCTTCTTTTTCCTCAACACAATGTCTGTGAAATTTTTCCATTTGTTGTTTATATCAGTAATTTCTTACTTTTTATTGCCCATTAGCATCCCTTTGTAGGAATATCCCACAACGTGTTTACCATTCTCCTGTTTTTGGAGGTTTAGGTTGTTTCCATTTGTTGTCCTCCCTATTTTATAAAGGTTTTGTAAACACCCTTGTACAAGTATTTCTGTAGACACAATTTTTCATTTCCTTTGGGTGTATACCTAGCAGTGTTGTTATTGGTTTCTAGGGTAGTTATAGGTTTAACTTTATAAGAAATTGCCAAGCCAGGGTACCTGGGTGGCTCAGATGGTTAAGCGTCTGCCTTCAACTCAGGTCATGATCCCAGGGTGCCGGGATCAAGCCCCATGTCCAGCTCCCTGCTTAGCAAAGAGTCTGCTTCTCCCTCTCCCTCTGCCTCTCCCCCTGCTCATGCTCTCTTTCTCCGTATCTGTCTGAAATGAATAAATAAAATCTTTAAAAAAAAGAAAAAGAAAGAAAGAAATTGCCAAGCCACTTTCCACAGTAGCTGTGCCATTTTACTCTTGCATCTTAAACATGAGAATTCCAGTTGCTCCACATCATCAGCAACTAGTGTTGGCATCCTTTTAATTTTGACCCTTCCAATGGGTATGAAGTGATATTCCATTGTAGTTTTAGTTTCCCTGGTGACTAATTATGTTGGGCAATTTTTTATATGCTTATCAGACAACTTATATGTCTTCTTTTGTGAAATGCTGGTTCAAGTCTTTTGCCATTTGAAAAAACTTAGATTGTATATCTTTTTATTATTGATATGTAGGAGTACTTTATGTACTGTAACAAGTTCCTTGTTAGGTACATGTGTCACAAACACAGTCTCCTAGCCTGTAGTTTGCCTCTTCATTCTGCTCGTGTTATCTTTTGATGTGCAGAAGTTTTTTATTTTAATGAAAACCAAATTATTAATTTTTTCCTTTTTACAGGAAAGTTACAGCTTTTTGTGTCCTTTCTATGAAATTGTTGCCTAGTCCAGGAATACAAAGATCTTCTATTTTATTTATTTTTATATTTTTTAAAGATCTTCTATTCTAAAAAAAAGCTTTATAATTTTAGTTTTTATTATTCTATGATCCATTTTGTTTTGTTTTCTTTTTAAAGATTATTTATTTATTTATTTATTTGAGAGAGAGAGCACATGCATGAGTGGAGAGAGGGGTAGAGGGAGAAGGAGAGGCAGGCTTCCTGCTGAGCAAGGAGCCCAACACAGTGCTCGATCCCAAGACCCTGGGGTCATGACCTGAGCCGAAGGCAGACGCTTAACTGACTGAGCCACCCAGGTACTCCTCTATGATCCATTTTTAATAATTTTTATGTATGGAGTGAGGTAGAGGTCATAGGCCGTTTTTTTCTGTATAGATATCTAGTTGTTCCATTCTATTCCATTGAACTCTTTGTCCATACCTAGGTCAAGACAATCATTGTCTCAATTACTATAGTTTGAAATCAGGGAGTAAAAATCCAGTTTTGCTCTTGTTTTTCAAGGTTATTTTGGCTCTCCTATATCACTTACATTTCTATATAAATTTCAGAATTAGTTTGTCAAGAAAGTATTCTGACTGGGATTGTACTGAATATAAAGATCAATCTGTGGCAGAACAGAATATTCAACCATGTCAACAATATTCAACAATAGTAACCCTACCGAGGTTGCACATAAGTAAGATTTTCAAAATTTAACTTCAACATGTCATCTCATTAGTTTATAATGTGTGCTTCATTATACCAATATCTAAACTTTGGTGAATATGATATTCCAGAATCCTACTCTGGCTTTCTTAATTCTCTGAAAGAAGTACTAGAAACCGCAGTGCTGACCCTTTCCAAATACAATTATTTTTAGGAGCTACTGAAACAACATGAAAAGGATACCTTACAATTAGAGGAGCTAAGAAAGACCAAACAGGTAAGTTTTTTCATTTTTCCTGTGGAATTAGCATCTTACAAATGCATCAATAAAATTGTGTACTCTCAATAAAATGGAATCTATAATAATTTTCCAAAACCAAAAAAAAGGGTGGGGGGGTATCTAAAGCTGAGTTTGCTGGATTCAACAGGTCAAAAAGAGCTTTAGAACTATAATACAAAGTCAACTGTAAAACAAAGCCCTTAGCATCTTTTTAGAGTGACTTGAAGAAATATATAAGCAATATGCTTGTGATCTTCAGTGTCAGATGCCTTCCATTTCTAGTAAGGCTCAAACCACAAGAGTCTTGACTTCTGAAATACCAAATTCTTCCTTTAGGCTCTAAAAATTACAATACTGCCTCTGGGAACTCTAACTCCAAGCCTCTCCTTAAAATTCTGAGTGTGCCTCATGTCCAACAGTTTCTTCAAAGAATTCTGTTCTTCTGGGACAAATTATGGCACTTCCATGTGGCAGACACCTGAAGGGAAAAGGTTCAAACCCATAAACACCCTTGTGGTTTTCTTTCACAGAGAATTTAACCTGGATCCGGAATGGACATGTTTGGGAAAAGACTAGCCATTATAAAATCGTGGAATGATATCTTAGAGATTAGGCAAGGCTTCATCATTGTTGGGTAAACAGACCTCAGTGCCCTGCATGGTAGAGGGATAGGTCAAAACAAGGAACAAGGAAGACCCAGTGTATTATAATAACTGCTTTATTGAGCTTGTCTTCTAATTCTATAATTGCTTTCTGGATCTGTTTCTATTAATTGACTTTGCTCCTCATTTGTGGCCATATTTTCTCACTTATTTGCATCCCTGGTGATTTTTTATTGGACAACCGCCATTGTGAAGTTCAACTTTTTGGGTGCTGAATATCTTTGTATTCCTTTAAATATAGTTGTACTTTGTTCTGGGAAGCCATTAAGTTACTTAGAAACAGTTTGATATTTTCAAGCCTTACCTTTAAGCTTTGTTAGGCAGAATTAAAGCAGTCTTTGGTCTAAGGTTAATCCCCCACACACAGAGAGATAATACCCTTTTGAGTAGTCTACCCAATACCCTGTGTACTCTAGCTTGTGGGAATATAACTATTCCCAGTCCTGTGTTGACCCTGGGGATTGTTCTACCTGCTCCATGCTCGTGGTTCTTTCCCCCATCCTTACCTCCTTCTACATCTTCTCCTCCATCATGCTACCCCAGTGGGACTGGACCCCTTGCTGTTTTTTTAACACACCAGGATCCACTACTTTGAGGTCTTTGCAGTTGGCATTCTCTCTTCCTAGGAAGCTGTTTCCCAGATATCCACATGACTGACTTCCTTACCTCTTTCTGTTCTTTGCTTAGATGCCACTTCTGAGGGGCCACTCTATTTAAAGGCTTAACAACCCACCCAACGCTTCCTTTTCCCTGTTTTATTTTTCTATACAGATTTATAATTGTCTAACCTGATAAACTCAATGAAGGCAGAGATTTTTGTCTGTTTTCTCTACCACTAATCTCCAGTTTCTAGAGCATGCCTGGCACATCAAGACATACAGTGACTACCAATTGATTTTTTTGAGTGAATAAGTAAATAAAAGAATGCTAAGTGAGTTGGTACAGTGCTTTGTACAATGTGGTTGCAGTAAGTAATAGTACGTCTCTAGTCTATACATCTTGGGAGGATGCTTATCCCATGGGAAGAGCTCTGAGGACATGTAGGAGTTAAACGGAGCTGACACCTGAAAGCAGAGACCCATCTGGTTCATTCTTATAGTCTCTTCAGCATCTATCTAACATAGATTCCACATTTGTCCCTTCCCTGCACTTACACTGCATCTTCTATCTTATCCTTGGTTTGTTTTAAATTTATTATTGTAATTATTAACTTTTATTTAATTTTTCCACCCCCTCACTAGAATGTACATCCATAAGAGTAGGAATTATATTTTTCTTGTTCATCATAATACTCCTGGTGCCTACAACAGGAGGGTTTTTTTCCTAATTAAAAGACTATTTTTTTTAGAGCAGTGTTAGGTTTACTGCAAAATTAAGCAGAAAGTATAGGGATTCCTTATATCCTCCCCCAACACAAACATACAATTTTCTCTATTATTAACATCTTACCTTACTGTGTTACTTTTGTTACAGTTGATGAACCATTATTGATGCATCCCTTTTAACTAAAGTCCATAGTTTACATTAGGGTTCACTCTTTGTGTCACACATTCTATAGGTTTTGTCGAATGCATCAAATGCAGCATGCCATGTACCATTGCAATATCATACAGAGTAGTTTCTTTGCCTAAATGTCCTCTGTCCTCCACGTATTTATCCCTTGCTTCCCCTCCCAACCCCTGGCAATCACTCCTCTTTTTACTGTCTCTGTAGTTTTGCCCTTTCCAATAATAAGTATTTGTTTAATGAATGAGTGATTGGTAGCTATTGTGACAACCCATGCGAGCCCCAGTGAGGGCTGGATCTGAGATGGTGATAGTGAGTCTGCAGAGGGGCGTATAGATGGGCAAGACATACAGGAGGTAGAATTAACAGGGTCAAGTGACTGAACAGTGTAAAGAGTTGCTAAAGTTGATGCTTCACCTTCTAGTCCAGGTGTCCTGCAGAAGAGAATAAATGGGTAGATATTGTCATGTTGTCCTGAAAGTTTCTTCTTACACAGGTCATGGAGGAAGAATTGAATACACAAGCTGTTATCCTAGAAACACTTAACACAACCCTCTACCAAACCCAGATGGAACTTCAGAGAGAGGCAAGTCCTGGCTGGAGTGGGGATGGGGGTTGTGCAGAGGAATCCAGGTCTCTGGGCGGCTCTACCATATAGCTCTGCTCTGGGTGACTCTGGTTTAGGAAAGACGGCTATTAAAATTTATATGTCCTTCAGAAAGCTACAGTGGGAAATCTGGAGAAAATGTTCCAGATCAAGCTTGCTGAAGCTGAAGAAAAGTTTAAATATACCATACAGCTTCTGACAGAAGAAAACATTCATCTAAGGTATGAAGGACGCTGCTCAAAAAGATATGGCTGAGTTATCCTTAGAAAGTGGGAGGGAGTTTGGGCGAGGAATAGATGAAGATGAACCCAGGTATTCCCTGATAAGGTCAAGGCACAGGGACTTTCAGGAGGGAGATACTCAGAGCCAGGCCACAGAAATCACCTGCGAAGGTCAGACAGTTCATCTGAGGTGGTTTTGGGAATGTGTCTAGACTCCTCTCTCTTACCTACATCTTAGTCTTAATGCAGAACGGCACAGGAAATTTATCTGAGGGTCTCTGAGTTTATTCAGTTCTGTGAATATATTTTAATATATTATATTAATATTAATATATATAAACAATATATTTAAATCCCTAAAGTGCTCTGCCCTCCACCTATTCATGCTTGGCTTCCCCTCCCAACTCCCGGCAATTACTGATCTTTTCAGTGTCTCTGTACTCTTGCCTTTTCCAGAATGTCCTATGCGTGGAGTCCATAGTAGATATATAATAAATACTTGTTGAATGAATGATTGGAAACTGTCATGATAACACATGGAGCTCCGAGTTTTTACCATGTCCCCTGAGAGTTTAGGGGTTTAGGTGTCAGTGCTTTACACTTAGATACAGCTGTATTTAGTTCCTGTGGAAATCAACTTTAGGTCAGAAATTATACTGTTACCTGAAGATGCATTTTTTAAATGACTGAGATAAATTTTGGTCAATATTTTAATAAAGGCAAGTGATTCATTGCACTGATTTGGTGGTATAGGAGAGTAAAGCTTTTCCCTTCTTCCCTTGTAGGTTGTTTGGTCTAATAGTTAAATTGGCATGAGACAGATTAACAGGAGAAAAACAAATTAAATTTTGAATGTACAGGAGCACATAAAAATATGAGACCCAAAGAAGTGACCAAAGTGGGCAGCTTTTATACCTTTTAGACAAAAAGACAATAAATCTGTAAAGAATTGACAAGACAAAGGAGTTTGGGCTCGGGGTAGTAAATTAGGGAGGAAGTAACAAGGTATGTTTACACAGCCTCCTCAGCCCTAAATTCCCTATTTCTGGTGATAAGGATGTCTCTTTACCTTCTGGTATAGGGAGGGTACTTTTATTTCCTGCTTTCAGGGGGACAAAGGAGGGTCAGAGAATCTTTCTTGTACTGGCTGTTGGCTTAAGTAACTGTAGTTCAAACTAATCAATATGCAAGGTAGCATATTTTGGGTGGCATAGTCTGTTTCCCCTCAGAAGAATATTCCTCATCTGGGAATTTGGTAACATAAATATCATATCTCACTAAATTCAAAACCACTGCAAGTAATGTGTGCGACTTCCCCCAGTGAAGGAATGAAACCATATTTCTCTCCCCCCAGATATCCTAGAGGCCCTTCTACCCTTTGAGTCTATAGTGATACATCTTCTCTTTCTTTATAGGCAAAAAATAATTGCCAAGAATGAAGAAATTTATGAAGAACGATCTGGGAGATCAACCTCTATTTATGAGGATAATTCTGACACTTTAGAAGATGACAAAAATGAAAAACAAGAATTGTGAGCAGAAAAGTTGTTCTCCAGTACAAAGGATGGTAGGAACACCATCTCTGTAGACTTTGAGAACTCTGGTGAGGTTTTCTTGAGAAATGTGTATTATGAGTTTAGTTCCTGGGTTGCCTTGGTTCTACTTTTGTCTTTTCACAATTTGCTTTCTTCTAAGTGGTTGGGAATGTTTGAATTCTCATCTCAATTATACAGATTTTCAAGACTCTTCAATGAAAGGTGATGTTCTCTGTATCTGGATCTGAGCTTTCTCTGGGCATTGTACTATTTTCTCTTCCACATTTATGTATTTCATTATGAAAACACTAATCTGAAGAACTTCTCCCTATTAAATGTTGACTGTACTTTGACGTTTAGCTTTTGTCCCCCAGGGGCATTTAGCTAGCAAGAATGATAATTTATTGATTCAATTCCAAAAACCTTTTCTCTTATGTGTGTCCCCACTGCTCCACTTCTCAATCATCTTTCCTGTAACTATGATTTGGGAAAAGTTTCTGATGATTCTTGCCACCTTCTCTAAATAATCACCAGAATTCAAATCCCCACAGTGCAGGCAATATAAATAAGTGAAGTGGCCTGGACATAAGGAAAAATAACCACACAGACAAGCACGGTGATCAATGGTAATTGGCAGCAGCCTAAATGTAGGGGATTGAGCAGGGTGGACCCATTCCAGTGCTGCCACACAAGAGCATGGGATCGATGTGGTCAGATATTCTGATTTTTCAAAAGAAAGTATTGTGGGTTTTTTGGGTTTTTTTAAGATTTTCTTTATTTATTTGACAGAGACACAGCAAGAAAGGGAACACATGCAGGGGGAGTGGGAGAGGGAGAAGCAGGCTTCCTGCCGAGCAGAGACCTGATGCAGGGCTCTATCCCAGGACCCTGGGACCATGACCTGAGCCAAAGGCAGAGTCTTAACCACTGAGCCACCAGACACCCCCGTATTGTGGTTTTTTTATGTAATATGTCCCAATGGAGCCCTGGGTGTTATGCACAAACAATGAATCACGGAACACTACATCCAAAACTAATGATGTATGGTGATTAACATAACAATAAAAAATACAACTGAGTGAGCTAGCATTGAGAGACTATATGAGCTAAATGTTTTCCAACTATAAGACATTAATGGTAAAAAAATAAAAACAAAACTAACAAAAACAATCTCTAAGTAACAGTAAGTTAAAATTCTATTTTCTATTAAAAATATTATTAAAAAATATTATTGAAAAAATATTCTTTTAAAAAAGCATCTTTTAAAAAAGACATTCATGCAGATTTAGAATGAACTAAATACATAAAGCAACAAAATGCAATTGCATGAATGGTATCACTAGCAAAAGAGCAAATCGAGTATTGATTATATAGAAGCAAATAATAAGAGAAAAGGCTGTTAAAAGTTTTAACATAAGAAATAACATCTTGAAACATATTTTTTTAAAAAAAGTTATAAATTAGTGTAGAGGATGGCTTGGAAAGGGAGAGACTGGAAGTACAAAAAGATAAAGTTAATGAGCTATTAACATGTCCTTTCAAATATGGATTTAATGGTATTTATAAATAATAAGAACAAGGAAACTAATTCCTGGATTTTGTGAAATCTAAATCTAAACAGAGTTAGGGTGTCTTTTACCACTGAAACAAGGTCTCCTCGTAGCTTAGGAGAGGAGGCTCAGGTGTTTCTGGGATTGCCTGTCACATACATCAGAAGACATCAGGTTGGATGTAGGAGCATTACACATGAGGTTTTCTTTTAGCTAGGTCAGATCACAAAAATCTCCCTCAGTGACCTTTGAGAGAGGGTCACTGGCATCCCCCTGCAAACCGTTAAACAGCAGAAATTCAACTGAGTAAATTTAAAGATCAGATTGGATCAAATTGCATTAGGTCACTTTCCCAAGGGGAATGGAAGGAGTTTATCAGGCAGATTATTTCACCAGTGCTGACCAGGTAATTCCATGTTGACTGCTTAAAAATTACATTCCTGGGGAATTAAAACTGCATTTTGGTTAGGTATTAAGTTTTGGTTTGCTGACATGGGGTTTAGCACAAGTGACTCCATTAGGAGCTGCTGTCTCTCTCTCTTTTTTTTTTAAGATTTTGACAGAGAGAGAGAGAGAGAGAGAGAGAGAGAGAACACAAGTGGGGTGAAGGGCAGAGGGAGAAGCAGGCTCCCAGCTGAGCAGGATGCCTGAGGCGGGGCTTGAGCCTAGGACCCTGAGATCATGACAGATGCTGGAGCCAAAGGCAGACACTTAATGACTGAGCCACCCAGGTGCCCCTGTCTCCTTTTTAACAATATCTTTTAGGGGTGCCTGGCTGACTCAGTTCATAGAGCTTGTGACTCTTGACGTTGGTGTTGAGAGTTCAAGCCCCATGTCGTGAAGTGGGGGGTCGGCAGGGGTGGGGAGTGGATAGAGTTTACTTAAAAAAAAGAGTCCAACAGTACCTTTTAACAATTGTACCTCACATTCCGCTCCACAGAAGCACATCCAGTTAGCAGGAATGTAAATATGACAAATTCTCATAAGAACCAGGAATGAGGAATCAGCCCTTTCACAGAAAGGAGGAGGATTATGGTTTTGACTTTGTCTCCCAGTACTTGAACAACATTCACTTATTCTGAGGCCTCAAGTGGGAAATTGCTTTCCTCATTCCCATTCTTATGCCTTATAAAATCTCTGCACCACCATTAACTCTGTGTTCCAGGTTAAAGCTTTAGCATAATATCCTTAACTTTTTTTTAAATGCTTAACAATTTGAAGGGAATCAAATGATTCCAGGCTGGAAGCAGATGAGAGATGTGCAAAGAACACTCATTCTGCCATCGTTTTTTAAACTTTCTATATTTCCTTATCTACTCTAAGTTTTTTAAAAACTTTTTCATCGAATCAAAAATAAAATTAAAATCCTACCTAGGGCTATAAATCTCTAGCTATTACTGCAAAGCCAGAGATTTAGGCTTAAATTTGCATGAGAATTAGGTTGTCCTGACTCCGATCCTCTCCCCTTCCTGCCATCCAAAAAAAAAAAAAGCAGCATTTTACTGACAAATAAATTAAGCATAGTGTTATACAGCTAAACAGTAGCATCAATTAGGAGGGAAGAAGAGTTTTTTCCTCAGTGTGAAAGTAGGTTGTGGCATTTGCTTCCCCATGTTTTTTCTGTCATCCTTATTGCTCACTTCAAAGTTCACCTCGGTAAGGATGGTGAGAATATCTTCACCCCTGAAAAACAACAACACTGTGACCATCTGTGGGGAAACAATACCAGCAAACCCTTCCATTCGCTCTACTTAGTTAGTGACAGTTCCTTCCCGCAAAATGCCAGGCATTATCAATCATAAGTTGCTAAACTAAGACGTGTCAAAGCTTTCTAGGAAAAGGAGTAGTTTCAGAGCTTAATAACTTACCTTTGGTTTACTCAAGATCTCTACTGATCGTCAGAAACCTCAGAGTCAACATTAGATTTGGGTTCTTTCCCTCCTGATCTGTTTGCACCTTATTCTTCCACGTACTATGCCACTTGCCCCCATAATCACCTCAATGCCCCCCCCAAAACATCCTCTGCTTCTGTGATCATCTACAATCACTTTGGGCAAGGGAAAACCCAATGTCTCCTGCAACCACTCCACCCCTTTCTCACCAGCCTCTGTAGGACTCGTGGTCTAAGTTACAAAAGGAAAACATGGTGTTGATGTTATGTTTCACTCCTCGATCTGCCATGGGAAATTCTTACTCTTCATACACTTAAAGCATGATGAGATATAGAGCTAGAAGATTTCTTGCTATTCACCTGTCAGTTATGTGTGCATTTGGGTGAACTGTGACTACAAAACCATCATTTAACTAAAGGAAGCATAGGGTATAATAAATGAGGTAGGGATATTTTCCCATATTTTGTAGCTTCACATCAGGCCAAACTAGTGGGAATATAAAGGGTTTCTATTCTTTGTAGCAACACCAAGAGGGTTGATTAGCTATGATAGAACTTTAACAGAGTTGGAGGATGTTAACCATTGACCTTGTTGGAAGACTTCCAAAACTAGTTGAGTTGGCTGAGTCATGTTTCTGCCTAAAAACAGAGCTGAACTGACTTTACCATCACTCCCTGCTCTATGATACCCCAACTGTCCTTTCAGGTACTAAATAAAAGAAACTCTGCTGTAAGTGTCTCTATGAACTAACGATGTTAACACTTGCCCCCCTCTTCCACTTTGCAACAGACCTGGGAAGTACAGCTGTGTCATCCATAACCAAAAATTTAGAAACGAATGAAGGGCAGAGTAGGCAAAAATTACCTAGGACATCTTTCTCTTAGGCTCTGGCAAAGTGACTGGATATACCAGGTCCCCTCCATGGGGTTTCGGTAGGAAACACAATTGTTCACAGTGGCCATCCCCAGCAGAAAGTCAGCATCTTCTGGAATATATCTCTTCTGCCATGACGAGTCCATTTCTAAATAGGCTTCCTTCTGTTCGGAGTCAGTCTCAACAGCTATACCTTTCTGGTAGTTATCCCCTTGACAAGCCTGAATAAAAAAAATTTTGGGCTTGCCTGCAAGGGAAGGGCACTTTGAGCCAGTGAAGTAAGACGTCAGCTCATAGATGGGGACTTCCCGCCCATCAGAGCCATAGATGATGCCCTTGTCTCCATGGGAGAGGACACAGCAGATAAAGCAATCCCTGCTAGTGTGGTCCATGCTTTGGTAGGATTTCAGAACCTCACAGATTTTCATGGCTGTAGAGTCTCGGAAAGGCACAATCTCAAAATGAAGCTCACTAAAGGTCTGACACAAAGCATCTGAAAAGTGAAACAAGAAAAGTCATATTACACCACAATAAGCCCCAAACCACAGTCCAGAGCTAGAGAGAACACTGATCAGATTAAGAAACTGAACCAGAGGGCACCTGGGTGGCTCCGTCGCTAAGTGTCTGCCTTCGGCTCGGGTCATGGTCCCAGGGTCCTGGGATCGAGCCCCGCATCGGGCTCCCTGCTCAGCAGCAAGTCTGCTTCTCCCTCTCCCACTCCCCCTGCTTGTGTTCCCTCTCTCGCTGTGTGTCTCTCTCTATCTAATAGATAGATAGATGATAGAAAGAGAGATGATAGAGTACAAAGAATCTGAACCAGAACTGAAGAACAAGACCTTTTATATCACTGGCTGAATTCCATAGTTTTCTAATATTTATTGCCCCCAGCTGAAAACACTTCCAGTCCTGAGGCAAATGAGAAAGGGGAGAGTGCTCCTGTCGGCCTTCTGTCTTCTCAACTAGTCTATAAGATGGGTAAGCTATTATTTAGGCTTACTACCAAACCAATCTAAATCATGATTGTATTACTTACATAATCAAAATAAAAAGCAAAAAAAAAATTTTAATAGAAGCTTCATACTTATTTTATCTTGAACTCTCAGATTTATTTATCAAAATACAAAACATGAGGGGCACCTGGGTGGCTCGGTCAGTTGAGTGTCTGCCTCTTGATTTGGGCTCAAGTCATGATCTCAGGGTCGTGAAGATCGAGCCCCACATCAGGCTCCATGCTCAGCATGGAGTCTGCTTGTCCCTTTCCCTCTTCTCCTCCCCCCTCCACTTGCACTTGCTCTCTCAAATAAATAAATCTTTTAAGAAAAATACAAGATATGAATGTTTAAAAAGTCAAGTAGAATTAAAAGGCCTATTACAAAAAGCTATCACTTCTCTAACTCTTCCTATTACCCAGTCATGTTCCATGAAGGCAACCACTTTCAACTTTTTACAACTATTTTTTGGTATTCACCTCCATTTTGTAATGAATTTGAGCTCTTTGCTATTTATTTACTTATAAATTTTAGACTTTGTATTGAGTTCTTATTATGGAGGATGAGCATTTGATACTCTTATACAGTTATTTACAACTTTTAATCGAATCAATAGTACTATGTAAACATAATATTCTTTAATTATGCTTCCTTTTTTATTAAATTTTTTGTCTTTCCTGGAATTAGTAATTGCATTATTTTTTCATTGCTTTGTTTTCCATATGCATAACCTTATTTTTTTTCCAAGTTCTCTAAGATCTAGTCAAAGTCTTTCAACACTTTCAGGGTGCCTGATTTTTTTTTAACTAAAAATTATATATACTTAAGGCATAAAACTGATTATATACACAGTGAAGTGATTATCACAGTCAAGCTAATAACATATCTCCTCACAAACTTAATTCCTTTTGTGTGTGTGTATGTGTGATGAGAGCACCTGAAATACACTCTCTTAGCATATTTCTAGTATTCAATACAGTATTATTAACTATAGTCATTATGTCATTCATTAGATCTCTAAATAAGTTACATATCTGCAACTTTGTATCTACCCTTTGACCAAAAGGCCAGAAATATAATCAAATATTATTTTAATAAAAATGTTTTGATAGTGGGGCATTTGGGTGGTTCAGTCAGTTAAATGTCCAACTCTTTTTTTTTTTTAAAGATCTTATTTATTTGACAAAGAGAGACACAGCAAGAGAGGGAACACAAGCAGGGGGAGTGGGAGAGGGAGAAGCAAACTTCCCGCTGAGCAGGGAGCCCGATGCGGGGCTTGAACCCAGGACCCTGGGATCATGACCTGAGCTGAAGGCAAACGCTCAATGACTGAGCCACCCAGGCGCCCCCATAAATGTCCAACTCTTGATTTCAGCTCAGGTCATGATGCCAGGGTTGCGACATGGAGCCCCGCAATGGGCTCTGCACTGGGTGTGGAGCTTGCCTAAGATTCTCTCTGTTCCTCTCCCTCTACCCCTCCCCATGCTTGTGCTCTCTCTCTAAAAAAAAAAAAAAAAAAAGTTTTGATAATAAATGAATGTAAATCAAAGGCCTGAATTCTCTTCTTCAAGACCAAGGTATATGATGATGAGTGATATAGCCAATGGACTTAAAGCTCTGTGGCTTTTGAAATCTTAGAATAGATTTGCTTGAATATGTGTTAAGAGACCATTAGCAGAGTCTTGATGATTAAAATCAACCTAAATTAATTTTCTAAACTTTATTCAGTTAAAAAAATAAGGCATTTCCTGATGTTATGAATCATAGAAACCATTTTCAAAAATATATTGGATGAGTTGCATTATTTCTATCACTTTTAGTAGTAGCCATTTCTATGTTCATACACTGAAAATCATTTTTTCATTTAAATTATAAGTTCTCACAAGTTTTCATTTAACTTGTTAAGTTCTTATAAGTTCTCTTTTAAGTTGCTCCTTCTAAAGAGGCTGAACAAAAGAATTTCTGGCTAGTTTAATATTTGAAAATGGTATTTCTATTAAAGACTCACAATTTCATCTGCCCAACTTTTATAAATACAATATGTGGTCTTGATCCCAAGGCAATGTTTTCACCTAATACTTAATACAGTCTACAGAAACACTATTCATTAAGTTGAATTAAAAGCAAAGCTTATTGTTGTTGCTTTTTATTATAAGCCTTTTAGTAAGATTTGATATTTTATCTTATATACATTACTTTGATTTAAAAATTAATTTAAAAAAACAAAAGCAGAAAATTAGCAAATATATAAGAATGTTCTTCATTTCCACAAGGAAATGTGGTTTTATCCATTTTTTTTTCTGAAACATGAAGCCCTGTTGGTACAATTTTTGTTCTCCCCTTTTGATAAAAAAAACTGAGGTATTAGAAATATTTCACTTCTTTTCAGGGTTCTACTGTACCTGCATCCAAGTCTGTTCCATTCCTATCCTTAATGCTCTGAAGTTTGGGCACTTCCTTCCGTGCTATGCTAAAGTCATAATTGTTAAAGATCAAACAATATCCTCGAGGTTTGCTTTCCATTCGGTAAACTTTCTCTGATGTCTGGAAGACAAAAATCCAACCCAGGAGCTGACTCTGAGGGTCAAACACTTGAGATGTGAACAAACAACTCCCTAGTAAGAAGTTGGGCTGTCCCCTTAGCCAAACTAGGATGCAAGGGTCCTTTCACCAGCCCTCCCTCAACTTGACGTCATTTCTCTGGTGAACCAGTTTCCACCCGTTCCCTTGACACAGGATCCCCAGACTTCTGCCCCACAGTTAGTGTGTAAAATCAGGGTTCCAGTACTTGGGCCTCTTGAGCACTTTGCACATCTATTAATACTGTTGTCATCATAGCATATTTTCATATGTTCTTGTTTCTGCTCAAGGCAGCTAACATTTGCAGCAGGAGCTAGAATTTATTAATTTGTGAGAGCTCAGTTAGGAGTTGCTGAATGAATGAACGTCTTCATGCTGTCTTTGGGCTGCCTGTCTGTCACCTTGTTATTCTGTTGGCCATCTAGTCAACTCATCTATTTTTCTGGGCTAACAGCTGAGGGCCTGCCCTTCACACATGACACAGCACGGTCCCAGGACTTTGAAAGCCGACAACCTAATTTGGCTCTCAGGGCCACAGTGACTGGAGGAGAGAGATGGACTAGTCAGGCAGGTCTTGGCTGTGTTGCAGGTTACAGTATCCAGACTCTAGTACCTGAGAGCATCAGTCAGAGATGGCCCTGTGTCCTGACTTTCCTGGGGCTGTTTCAGTGCCGAGATACTCAGCATTTATTGGGAAATCCATGCCGCTCCTCAAGGTAGAGAAAAGTGCTCTGCACGAAGGGCTCAAATTCCTGGCTCTACTATGTAATAACCTTAAGACTCTGTGCAAGTTACCTAATCTCTCTGGCACTCAGTACGGTTAGCTGGTCAGTGGGGACGACATTCAGTAGAGTGCTTTGCTATTTGCAAAGTGCCACATGACTGGCAAATCCTTGGTTTTCAGACCTAGAGAGGTCTGGTAATTTGCTCAGGAGCCCACCTGTAACTGGTCTCTCTCAGCTTAATTTCAAGTCTCCCACTGGACTGATAGCTTTCACGGTTTCCTCTGCTTCCCATAACAGAGAGGAGTGAACAGGCTAATGAATCAGAATGTGGCTGGTGAATCTTTGAAGGTTAATAAACTAAAGTGATTGTCTAGAAAGGCAATTCTTGCACTGGCTCATTGAGATGAGAGCATAGAGATGGCTAGATCATGATCCTTTGCTGCTTACCCCTAAATCACCATGGAGAAACAGTTTTGAAATGTCAGCCTAAAAGAAAAGGCTTTCTTTTCCCAGGTCTGCTAGACTTTTCTCCCAAAGCTTTCTCCCACTTCGGCTGAGGCAGCTGCTGAAAGGGTTGCCAGGAGGCTTCTTGCTTTCTCGGCCCTCCAACTATTCCAATGCCTTTGTCTTTGGTTTTAAAATAAAATTTTAGGGGCACCTGGGTGGCTCAGTTGGTTGGGCGACTGCCTTCGGCTCAGGTCATGATCCTGGAGTCCCAGGATCGAGTCCCGCATCGGGCTCCCTGCTCAGCAGGGAGTCTGCTTCTCCCTCTGACCTTCCCCCCCTCTCATGTGCTCTCTCGCTCTCAAATAAATAAATAAAATCTTAAAATAAAATAAAATAAAATAAAATAAAATAAAATAAAATAAAATTTTAGGGGTGCCTGGGTGGTGCCGTCGGTTACACATCTGACTCTTGATTTGTGCTCAAGTCATGGGATTGAGCCCCACGTGGAGCCCCACATCAGCCTCTGCACTCAGCGAGGAGTCTGCTTGGGATTCTCTCTCTCCCTCTTCCTCTGCCCCTCCCCTGCTCACATGCGCTCTCTCTCTCTCTCTCTCAAATAAATAAATAAATCTAAAATAAAATAAAATAAAATTTTAACACTTTTTTACTTTTGAAACTTAAAAAATCACATTTTAAATTTATCTGTTTCTGAAAATTTTCTGTAGTTCTCAAAATTTCCAGTAAGCATCTGCCCCTTACTAGTTTATCTGACCACTTAAAAGCTGAGGAATGCAAGAACTAGAATCAGCAACTAAAGAGAATAAGAAGTCCAAATTTCTACACACCTCTGATTCATAGTCCTGTTCTCCTGGAGAGTCCGACATTGGCGGTACCCTCAGGGATTCCTCCCCTATAAGCAACTGAGACATATCTGGAATGAAACATAGCAGAGAAGGGATTTTGGTAAAGAAACACAGAGCACCCAGGATATCATAAGGTCCCCTTTAAAATGAAAACTCACAGACTGCCTTGAACATAATATCCTTGCAGTCCACAGAATAAAAATCTTTTTACTGACTGACTCTTCACCTATTTTAAACTTGTCAGCCTGGAGCTGCAAGGTCTATGTCTTTTGACAGCAGGTGTGTATCTTTCAATGTGTAAAGAAGGTGACAAGTAGGCATGCAGCCTTCTTGATTTTAGAAGAGCAAGACCATTAAGATGTGGCCGTGTGAGAAGGTTGTGGGGAGAGGAGGCAGTGAGGGTATCCGATAGTAAATTAACTGAGTAAGTCTTAAATACGTATTTCGCATATTACCATTTGAAACTTCATCTAGACTTCTTTGAGGGCTCATTGTTTGCTCTGAATTAAAAAAGAAACACATATTTGATTAGAAACAATCTCAACATAGAGGGATTTGTAAATTTAAGAATACATTTTGCTAATTCACAGCTGTCAAGTTATTTCTACCTCTGCTTAATTCTTCATAATCCGTGATTTTCTTCAGCAGGCTCTTGTTAATTTGGTCACAGATTCTTTTCAGGGTGTCCAAATTTCTTTCCCCGAGAATGACCCTCTTCTCCATCTCTATGAAAATATCAAGCAAGTTCTAGAAGGAAGAGAAATAAAGTTGGAAGACTGGATTGAGACATACTAGCTTTTAGATGAGATTTTCTTTTTTTTTTAAGTCCACTTTGTCCAAAGAGAGGGCCCACCCTAGCTTCCCAAGCTAACCCTCCTGACAAGATATCCTGGTCTTATAAAGCCAATAGAGCACTAGAGAAGCAATTTTGTCTTTTCTGGCCCAGGAAGAGAGAAATGAGAAGGTAGAGGAAAAGTGACATCAGGTGTCACCCAGGCCCCAGGCCCCAAGCCCTGTGCTGCAACCAACCGGGGACACCTTTAGGGGACGCCTGTGAAATAGCCTAGGTGCATGGTTGAGACACTGTAGCCTGGTCCCCAGAGTCACAGCCCTGGGGACTGCGTCCCTCCCGACACTGCCTCCGGTTCGTGATCCACCTCCAGTCCAGACGCATGCACGCACAGACTCCGCACTCTCGCACGCACACGCACGCACGCACACGCACAGAGTTCCAGGTCCTAGGTGGTTTCAGAGCCTGTAGAAGAGGGGAGATGTCTCCAGCTCACCACTGTCTTGCCTGGCTCTGCAGGGTCCCGCAATGGGCTGTGCCTCCACAACCAGTCTTCTTCCCTAGCTACTGACCCTGCCATGCTCCTGACAATGTGAGCAGCACTTCTCAGTATACGAAGGAATCGTATCTGCAACACTGCTGTCTGTCCAACCACTCTTTTCTTCTCCCCTGGTTGAAAAGTGAGAGTCCAGGTTGCTTTTACTGGACCAGCCCACTCTCCAGTCACAGCAATCCCCACCGGCTAACTCAACCTCAGGACCAAATCTTGGTGAAACACCAGGTCTTACCAAATCATCATGCAGTTTACATCTGGAGATCTCCTGGCTCAAAAGAAACTTAAAGGACCTCAATTCCAATTTGCTTACATCTTCTGAAATCTGAAAAAGCATGACCCTGTGGTGGGAAATGGAGACACTTTAGAAATGGTTTCTCAAATAATTTCCCATTTGATAAAAGGAGTGGCAGTGGAAACTTGATTCTGGTCACCTCCCCTTAAATTAAAGACAGCTAATGACATAATTTATTAGTTGAATCCTTGCAAAGAGACTGCTGCAGTGACATGACAGGCTACAGACTCATGCCCAGCTACTCCACCCTTAACAGAGTTAAGGTCCACTAACTATGCCGTTCAGTTAGTTTCAGTTAAATGAATTGTTTTTCCTTGGTCCTTCACTATAAAATCAGGAGCTTGTTGCAGTAGGAAAAAAAAGTTTTTATTTTGGAAATTATGCTTTTCAAAATGCAACTGGATCATCACCTCTTGGTCTTTTTTAAAGATTTATTTATTTATTTATTTATTTGAGAGAGTGTGTGTGTGCTCAAGCAGGGGGAGCTGCAGGCAGAGGGAGAGGGAGAAGCAGGCTCCCCGCTGAGCAGGGAGCCCAACGCGGGGCTGATCCCAGGTCACCAGGATCATGAACTGAGCCGAAGCCAGACGCTTAACTGACTGAGTCACCCAGGTGCCCTGGATCATCACTTCCTAAATTAAAACTTGTTAGTGCTCTCCTGACCATCAACTTCAGTAGGAAAGCCCCACACTTGGTTCTGGAATACAAACCTTTGTGCACTGAGCCCAGCCTACCTCTTCAGCTTCTCTAGCCACTCCTCAGCACCTGCCCACATCTCCTCTTCAAACACACCCGGCTGCCCTGCCCCCACCCCTGTATGCTGTGCTGTTCACACCCCCATTCCCTTGTCCCATCTGAAGACACACTCACCCACTAACAGCTCAAGTACTGCCTGAGTGTCCTCAAGGCTGCATTCACCACACTGTGCCTTTGTATCGCCAGAAAGTTTCCACACATGTTATAATTGTCTGCTTATGAAGCCCTCTGAGTCCCCTGAGAGCAGGGTCTGTGCCCTTTTTGTTTCCACAAGCCCGGTGGGTCATGAGGTGCAGAGGTTGAGTGCAGAGGACCTGGGCTACTGGCGTTGGAACTTTGGTTCCATCATCTAAGAGCTGTGTGACTGTAGACGTGTTGTACACTTTTTCCCCCTCATCTGTAAACTTGTACATGATAAAATATACCATTGGGACATATTAAGAATAATATGAATAAATTTATCTGAAGTGCTTAAACCAATCTTTGGCAATACATTGAGTGTTCGATACACAACAGGCATTATTATTTCCTAATCCATGAGAGGTTCTTGGGATATGTCTGTTGAAGGAACAAAGGAATGTTTAATAAGTCAGCAAACATTTCACCATTGTGGTGTAAAGGAAAATAACACAAAAACACGCTAACTTCAAATTAAATTAGAAAATTAAAGTTCTGAAAATAAAAATAGTATACAAACAGAAGTCTCTCAGTATTATGATCTATTTCATCCTTCCCCTCCTGGAATCTCTACCCTGGAAGTGTTTCTCCGAAGTTTTCTCAGTTTGGCCAAGATTGGGTCCAGTCAAAAGTTACCAGCCCTTTTATCTTTATTATAAGGTGTTTTGCCCTCTTACTTTCCTCATTACTAAAACCTACCGGCTTTCTTGTACCATCACTATCTGGAAATAAACCTGGGTAGTTTATGAGATACTTATTTTATAGGCAGCAATTATAATTTTAAAATAAAAATGTCTAGTGCTTTCTCTAAATGGAAAGTGGCCACTCTAGCATACTTTTTGTTTCCTGGCTAATATCCAACAATGATGAACAGTAGATTGTATCTGTGCTGACCCTTTTGTTCCCCAGCTAATGTGTTAAAGGTTTAACAGACAAGGGCGCCTGGGTGCCTCAGTCGGTGAAGTGTCTGCCTTTGGCTCAGGTCATGATCTCGGGGTCCTGGGACTGAGTGCCGCATCGGGTCCTTGCTCAGCGGGGAGCCTGCTTCTCCCTCTGCCTGCTGTTCCCCCTGCTTGTGTTCTCTCTCTCTCTCACAAATAAATAAATAAAATCTTGAAAAAAAAATTTAACAGATCCTCCCTTGTGTGGGACTCAGCCTTCCACCAGAGAAGTACAGGTCACAGTCTGACATTGACAATTTGCCTTAGCCTTGCTTACATGACAGAAGGAGGGCAACCTTCAGAAGACCAAGATGGTGGGCACAAGACCCTCCCAGTTCTAGGGTTGTTGTTTTTTAAGATTAATTGCTACCTTAATGAAAAGAAAATCATTGGAAGATGTCACAGTCCCATTAAAACAAAGTTATCTGGTATTGAATAATGTTCTCCCCGACTCTCCTCCCCAATTCATGTCCCCCCTGGATGGCTGAATGTGACTTTATTTGGGAAAAGGATCTTTGATGATATAATCTTGTTAAGATGAAGTGACACGAGATCAGGGTTGGCCCTACTTCAATGACTGGTGGCTTTCCAAGAAGAGGAAATTCAGAAAAACAGGCACAGAGCGGAGATTGGAGAGATGCATCGAAAAGATGAGGAAGACCAAGGCTTGCCTGCCAATACCTGAAGCTAGGGGAGAAAGGAACATGAAACAGACTCTCCCTCAGAGCTCCAAAGAAACCAACCCTGTTGATACCTTCATTTCAAACTTCTAGCCCCCAGAACTGGGAGAGTATGAATGTCTTTACTGTGGTAAGCCACCCAGTTTGTGGGACTTCATCACAGCAGCCTTTGGAAACTCATATACCCAGCATATCTCTTTTGTCACTTATCAAAATGCTCAAGCTTCGAGCAGAGAAAGATATGGTAAGGAACATGCCAGAATCTCAGGTCTCTGAGACTGAGGACCGGGGCACTCATAAATAGGCCAGGCTAGTAGGGGATAGTGGCTTCCAGCCCTGGCTGTGAGAACATACCATCACACTTGCCATCATTACTGACAAGAGAGAAGAGGCCGGGAAATGGGCCACAGCTAAGGCTGGAGTAGAAGTTTTCAGAAGGGAAGCTAAAAATAACGCTGAGGAGTGTCTGGTAAGAGGGCATGTTGAAAGACAGAAGTTGGTAATGTGTGCCTGTTTTTAAAGTCTGTTACCTATATAATCAGTCATCCCTCACAACCCCGGTGCTGCTCTTTCTGCCTGTGTTTTAATAAAAATCATCTTTTTGCACACACACACACACACACACACAAAGTCTGTTACCGACTCGTGAAGACATAAGAGAACATGGCTTCTTATCAGCCCTGGGTCCCGCTGCCCCACAGGCAGGGAGAGGCCCAGCTGCAAGGCGTACGGCCGGACAGACGGCTGAGGTCGCCACTGTCCTCCTGGCAGCAGCTGGGCACACAGGGGCTCGGCAATCTTTGTGGAGCCCAGCCTGTCCGGCCCAGCACGATGGGCAGCACACAGCCCTCATTGGAGAACCTTATGAAGCAAGTCTTTCAGGGTGGAATAAAAGCCTAGAACCCCACTGAGAATGTCCACAGTCATCCACATGCAGGTGGGGGATTTCGGAGAAGCAGCAGGGATGCTTTATCCAGTAATGGGCCAAGCAAGCACAGGACGTGGACATCAACAGAGCAGAGGCAAACAGAAGAGTAGACAGAATGGGGAGAGAGACAATTCAGAAGATGACTGTTTTAATATCAGCATACCTATAGGTCATATTTCACTTTGGAAACAAATTTTTTATTTTATGGTTTAACTTTTTTCTGAATTATATGTAAGATCTCTAAATTTCTTAATCTGGTCCTAGTGGGACCAGATTTGTGTGTGTGTGCAAAAAGATGATTTTTATTAAAACACAGGCAGAAAGAGGAACTTCCAAAGTCATATGACACAGACACCCGCAATCAGCCCTGCCCACAAAGATGTGTCCATTGCACCCACACCTCCCAGTGCCTGAACTGTGGAGGTTGTCCCCACCTGTAGGCAGAGATCTGGGCTCTGCCTGGTATCTGAAGTTCCTGCTCCATCTCCTCCTTGCTGGTGTCCAGGTAGGTGACCAGCAGATCCAGTCTATTAATTCGGAAAAGCAGCTCCTTCAAGAAGGACAGGTTGCCTTCCTCCAACATTCTCTTTTCCTGGAGTCTCTGGAATAACATCAAGGGATCCTTGATGGGTTCCTGCTTTTTCTGTGGGATGCAGTCCATGCTAAGGAATTTGAGGGAGGCCAGCTCATCACTGTCCAGCTGCTCTCCAATATTATAGAGGCATTTGCTGAAATTCATGTTGGTCAAGTATCAGGAGAGTGTTGTTGTAGCCTAGGTCAAAATACAATATTATGTTCAGATGAGGAAGAGAAGTACCATTTACCAGTTTGTTCCTTCATTAAGTGCCATTATCTACTATACACTAGACATTTTACTGAGGACACAGGGAAGAAAAAAAACAAACAGAACATGTTTCTGCTCTCAACTAGCTCACTATTTTGGAAGGTAGATACACAAATTAGCCAATAGTCAGAGAGTTGTGACCAGGGCACCGTAGGAATATAGAGGAAGGAGCCCTAACTCAACCAGGGAGAAGGGCTTCCCGGAGGGAAGGCACCTTTGGGAAGGAGGTGGGAAAGGACAATTCTTGCAAGAAATAATTTATGCAAAAGATGGAGGTGAGAATGTTCAAGTCAATTCAAGCAACCACAAGGAGCTCAATAAAGTAACCACGAAGTCTCTGGGAGGAGGAATGGTGGGAAAAGGGATGAAGCCGTGGCCAGGAACCATTACAAAGGGCCTCATACTGTGGGGGCAAGGGCTCAGGCTTTGTCCCAGAGGTGATGAGCAACTAGGAAAGGACTGTAATGTCATCCAGTTTGGGATTAACATTTCAAGTGTGGCGGATAGGGGCGCCTGGGTGGCTCAGTGGGTTAAGCGTCTGCCATTGGCTCAAGTCACGATCTCAGGGTCCTGGTCGGGCTTCCTGCTCTTCAGGGAGTCTGCTTCTCCTTCTGCCCCTCCCCCTGCTCACGCACTCTCTCACGCTCTCTCTTTCTCAAATAAAAAAAAAAAAGTGTGGAGGATAGATTGGAAGGGCTGGAGGCTGGAGAAGTGATGGGGTCTGACTGAAACAATGGTGATAGGAAAACATGATGCAGTGCCATCCCCCAAAGGCCTCGGGATCAGCCCCCACAACCGACCAAGGACCCACAGCTGGAAACGAAACCAAGTCAGCTTTGTCAGCCTTCCAATGCAGAAATGAAACCAAGTCAACTTTATCAGCCTTCCAATGCAGAAATGAAACCAAGTCAACTTTGTCAGCCTTCCAATTCAGTCTCCAAATCAGATGACGTGATATTTTCACACACTTATATGTTTGAGCAGATAGAAAAGGAGAGGGCACTGTTTGTGGAAGCCCGGACAACCTTACGCAAACACCCCAGAATCTGGGGTTCCTCCTCCCGTGAGACCCTTGACTCACCCCTCCTCCTCTGCTCTGATAGGCCCATGTTGGTGATAAAACAAGCCCTCGGAGCAGGGTTTGTACTGGATTCTTCAGAGGAGCAGGTGTGGGACCCAGCTCCATAAGATGGCTGCAGTATCACCGTCAACGCCAAGAAGCACACCTGCAGCTGACTGTCAGGGAAACGGGGAAGTGCAGTGGTTCAGAGTAGGGGGCATTAGGGTCTGACAAAACTTAGATAGAACCTGTCTGGGGCAATGGCCCCAGCCCTAGGCAGCTCAGGTCCTTTGAGAGTTAGGTGCTCCCTCTGTAACATGGGGATCAGAACACCCACCCCTTAAAGTGTTTGACTAAGTCCTGTAAGGCATGTGCAGTGATGGTCAGCAATTAATGAACAAATGAGGGTTAACCTGAAAGAAGGAAACAGATCCTGGCTGTGCAGACCCAACAGGAACTAGGCACTTGAGTACTTTCCTCACCCTCCTGGTTTCCCATTTCCCCAGTGGCAAACTCGTTGGGAAGTAGTGTTTTTCAAACTCTGTAAAGTTGAAGAACTCTTGGTTGACTCCTTACTCAGATGCTCCCGTACCTTAGGAGGTGGTCCCGGAGGTCTGCAGTTTGAGAAACTTGAACTAGAAAACCTTTAACTTCCCGTCCAGTTCCACCATTTCCTTGATCTCACAGACTCTGTGCTCCTGGGGACTTTCCTTAACCTCAAATGACCTTAACCTGTTTGTACCTCTTTCCTCCTGAAAGCAAAGTGGATGAGTTCCTGGGTCCTTAAGCTCCCTGCACTAACATTCTTGGATGAAAACACAAATCCTGATTCTATCACTTGAGGTAAGTGAACCAGGACCCATGTATTTTCTATATCTGATGTTAAAATAGAAGTATTTTGGGGGCGCCTGGGTGGCTCAGTGGGTTAAGCATTCGACTCTTGATTCCGGCTCAGGTCATGATCTCAGGGTCATGAGATCGAGCCCTGCATAGAACTCTGCACTGGGCATGAGCCTGCTTAAGATTCTCTCTTTCCCTCTCCCTCTGCTCCTCCCAACTCCCACCATTCCCTGGGCACATGGCTCTCTCTCTCTCTAAAAATTAATGAATTAATTAAATAGAAATATTTTTTATTTGCACAATAAAGTTAAGTTTTAATCAAAGTACCTTGAAAGACTTTGAAATTTTTAGTTTTTCCTTTAAAAACACCTTCCCTCTGGGTGCCTGGGTGGCTCAGTTGGTTAAGCGGCTGCCTTCGGCTCAGGTCATGATCCTGGAGTCCCGGGATCGAGTCCCGCATCGGGCTCCCTGCTCGGCGGGGAGTCTGCTTCTCCCTCTAACCCTCCCCGCTCTCATGTACTCTCTCTCTCTCTTTCTCACTCTCTCAAAATAAATAAATAAATCTTAAAAAAAAAAAAAACACCTTCCCTCCCCCCAGCCCACTCTGATTGTAGAAGCAGTGTTTTTTGTGTGCGTGAAAATTGAGAATATAGTAAATTATAGAATGGTCACAGTTATTATCATACACACACACACATGCACACAAGATATCATACATCACACATACACGCAAAGATACATTTATATAAAAATCAGAATCAGGCTGCTTATCCATGTGTATACACCTATTTTTTTTACCCCACTTAATATTTAGAATGAACATTTACCCCACCATTAAATATTCTTCTTTAGCATATTTTTAATGTTTCTTGATCTCCAGCATGCAGATATATCAAAATTTATTTTAAGGAATTTTCAATTTCTTTACTCTTAAAAATAATATTGTATTGCAAAGCTTTTTCACATATCCTGTGCATATCTCTGATTATTTCTCTCTTAGAATTGGAATTATGGGGCAAAACCCTTTTCTCCCTTTTAATCTAGAATTTACATCATTATTTAGACAAGTTTTCTTGACTCTGGAAACTAGAAGGAAGTGTTTTGGACAGATACACTTTGCACTGGATTCCCAAAGCCTGCAGAGCCTAAATCTTTCACAATGCAATTATCACAAAAATACTTTTATTTAGAAAAGACATCTTAGATATGTGGCTAGCACCAAACAGCATATGTTCAAAATGTAGCAAACAAAACCTACCGGACATATAAGGGGACAAACTAGCAAGTTCATTCCCTAAATCACACTCCATAGAAACACACATGTGCTAAACAGGATATGTGCACAGACTGTCACCACAATACAGTGTGTAACCCTGAACAACTGGAAACATCCCTAATGTCCATCAACATAGAAATGGCTAAATAAACTGAGGTATAGTCATACTACAGAATATTGTGCAGCAGTTAAGAAAATGCCCTCCATCTTCTGAAATAAAAACGATAGTTACCCAAGACATGTTATTATGACAGTAAAAAAAAAAAAAAGTAGAAAAAGCAATTGTAATATAAAAAAATACATCTACTTTTTAAAAAATACTCAAAGCAATACAATTAGATTTTCAGTGGTTACAGATACATATGCAAAAGCAGAAAATAAAAAGGTTCTGGGAAGAGACTTACCAAATTCAAAAGTTTCTTCTGGGGAATGAAGGAGAAAACTAGAACTTGGGGGTGAAGGAGTGAGGAAAGAGAATTGCTCTTTTCCTGTAATATGGTAAGAAGAATGTATGCAGATATTCTCAGGTAAATGAAACTACTGTTAAAATACTTGAGTGTGTTCTTGGGTTTAAAGTTGTGTAAGAGGCTGAATGAAGGAGGAGGCAGGAAATGACAATCTTTGGAACAGGAAATGACATACCATGGGCATATTAACCAGGAAAGGAGACCAAATCAGAAGAGCAAGCAACACAACCACATTTGTGTTTTGTTTTGTTTTGTTTTTTGTTGGGGTTTTTTATTTTATTTATTTATTTTTTAAAGATTTTATTTATTTATTTGACAGAGACACAGCGAGAGAGGGAACACAAGCAGGGGGAGTGGGAGAGGGAGAAGCAGGCTTCCTGCTGAGCAGGGAGCCCGATGTGGGGCTCGATCCCAGGACCCTGGGATCCTGACCTGAGCCAAAGGCAGACGCTTAATGACTGAGCCACCCAGGTGCCCCTGTTTCATTTTGTTTTTTAAGTAGGCTCCAGCACCCAGCATGTAGCCCAACGGGGGCCTTAATCTCACGACCCTGAGATGCAGACCTGAGCTGATATCAAGAGTCGGTCACTTAACTGACTGAGCCCCCCAGGTGCCCTTACATTTGTGTCCTTAAAAGAAAAGAAGGTATTAGATGAACTTAAACTTTAAAAAAGAACTTAAGAGAACTCAGAGAACCTATATGCCCCCAAAATAGCAGGAAATTTCCACACACCATTCTCAGAAAATAGAAATCTAGTAGAAGAAGACTGGAAGATTGACGTGGCCCAAGTGAAAACTCTAACTGTATTTCCTCCCAGTAGCAAATACATGTCCTTTCAAACACAGACCAAATAGTCACAAAAATTGTCCACAAAGAAAATCTTAATACGAGATTTCCAAAGAGCACAAATAGTACAGTCCATATTCTCTTTTAGAAGTTAACGATGAAATTAGAAATTAACATGTTAATTAGAAGTTAACAATGAAAAATAACCAAACTGAACACACCTACAAAAAGGGCTATCGACATTGAGGTGGCTTTTTCCACACGTGGTGTTAGAACAATTGGGCAGACTTCTAGAACAAACTGAAATGGATCATAACTGAACTCTTCACATTAAAATAAGCTGCAGATGGATCAAAGCCTCAAACCTGAAAATTAAAATACTAAGGAAAGAAAAATTGGAGAATTGTTTAAAATAATCATGCGGTGGTAAAGAACCTTTCTAAGTACAACAGAAAACCTGGAAGCCATTACAGAAAGGTTGATAAATGTCCTTAAATAATAACTAAAATAATCTGCCAAAATAAGCCAGACAAAATTTAAAAATAAATAAATCTTGCACTTGGGGGAAAAAGGACTGATTTTTCTTAAAGTCATTTTTTTTTTAAAAAGAGATAAAGACCAATGATCCAATGCATAAACAGGTAAAGATCCTAAGTACACAGTTCAGAGAAAAGTAAGTACCAGTGGCTTTATTTTTTAAAACCAATGGTTTTAAACATTTGAAAAGATGTTCAACTTCATTCACCATAAAAAAAAAAAAAGGCAAACTGAAATTACAAAAGACCATTTTTCAACTACCAAACTGGTGAAGCACAAAACTTGCAATACCCAGTGTTTTGAGATGGTGGAAAAAAAATAGGTAGATGGGTAATTTGGCCCCTATCGTCAAAATATAAAATGACCCTACAATTTAACTTCCACAAGTTTCTCCAACATTAGCTTAAACGTGATGTACTTAAAAACATGTACAGAGCTGTTCAGGGCAGTGTTGCTTGACAGAACAAAGGGGCAGAAACCACTCTTTATCAGTATCAGAAGTTCATTGAAACCTTACTCATATATTTAAAAAGAATAGGAAGACCACCATGATTGGATTTGTGTGATCTATACAAGGTATTATGAAGGTGCGTAGATTTGTGTATTCACATTAGATCTTTGAACAGAACCAACACACAGGAAGCTACGTCAGTGATTGCGTGGGAGGAGAGGAACCAGAAGCCGCGTGGTGGAGTGGACGGCCCTGGCGGCAAAAAAGTGAGGCTTGCCGCTTGAATTTTTAGGAGGTGCATGTATTACTTATTCTACATGGACTTATATGTAGATGAAAATCACTACTTTTTTTTTTTTTTCAAAGATTCCATTCATTTATTTGACGAAGAGAGCAGGAGAGCACAAGCAGTGGCAGAGGCAGAGGGAGAAGCAGGCTCCCCACCGAGCAGGGAGCCCCATGCAGGGTTTCGGTCCAAGGACTCTGGGACCACGACCTGCGCCGAAAGCAGACGCTTAACCAACTGAGCCACCCAGGCGCCCCAAAAATCATTACTTAAAGACCCATTTTCATTCATAAGCTGGAAAGGATCTAAACTACATTAGCTCCAATGTCCTTAAAATTTTAAATCCGTTCTAACCTCTGTTAAAATCTCCTTTTACAGAATTAAATGAACCAAAGAATCAAATGAAAGCGGAATCTTTTTCCCTCGATATTTTTTTCTGATAACAATGCTTATTGTATTCATTTTAGAAAGTACAGAAAAGATAAAAAAAATAAAAATTACCTATAATTCCACCATCCAAAGATAATCACCTAATAATATTTTACTATCTTTCCTACCAAGCATTTTATATATTTTTTCCCTCATATTTTATCATACCACATTTCTGAGGTATAAGTGGAATTTTCACTGGTAATATTCTAAGTACATCTTGATATCGTCACTTTTTTCTTCTACAGCACAGATTTTAAAATTTGTAAAGTATGAAATCATAGGATTGAACCATAATGTATGTAACCAGTTTCTGCTTATATTTAGAATAAGATCTTAAGATGTAAATCTCCATGTACACCTCTGATTATTTTCTTAGAATAATTTCCTAAAAGTAGTAATTACTGAGCCCAAAGGAATAAACCTTGTTTAAGTCTTTTGTTACATATTTAATAGCATTTTCTGACAGTATATAATAATAATAATAACAACAACAACAATAATAATACAATCCAAGGCCAGGATGATATGAGTTTGGTTATAACATGACTGGCACTTGGCTCCTGTCCTCTTTAGCTGCCTCATGTCATTCATTTTGTTATCTTTGCAGTAATTAGAAAATGCTTTCTAAATGACTTCTGCATCACACAAAAATGGAGAGTTAGTAGGGAAAATGCTGGCAAGGCCTCCTTCTGGTCCAGGTTTTACAGGACACACTAGGACATAATATTCAGTCTTGGTTTGTTTACATCACACATCTCTCTAGTCATAGTACCTGGAAAGCAATAAGCTGCAACAGAATTTTACACCTTTGATAAAGGGCTGCCTCTGAGCACTGAGATCCATGGGTACACAGACCGTGGGATGGTTCTTGTTTTCTGGGACCAAAGTTTACTGCATAAAATCATGGGCTAGAAACTTTGTTACAGTAATATTTTTAAAAGAGCATTTATTGTATTTTTCTGATCCTAAAATAATAAAAGTCACACTTATTCCTTAGAGACAGTACAGAAAAGTATAAAAAGAAAAAGAAAAATCACTTACAAACTCACCATTTAGAAGGAACTCTTGTTACAGTTAGTGGTTTCCTTCCACTTATATTCGTGTGCGTGTGTGTGTAAAGACCTATATAAAATGTGTTCGTATACATACATGAAAGATATAAATTGGAATATTTTCATATATAATGCATACAAGGCAGAAGAAAGAGAAGGGGACGCGATCCCGCCAGGAAGTTTTCTTTCACTTTCGATTATATGCTATCTGTTAAATCATAACTCTGTATAAATAGATTTGTATTATACAATAAGTATCTTTAATATTTTTAATAATAAATTTATGCCCCGAAGTATTTGATATAAATAAATGTTTGTATTATGATATACAGGTGTTTATATCTATGTCAACGTAAAAATATCTTTTTGACTTATTTTACTACCAGTCTCTGAAGAAACTGGTATTATCGTCTTCATGTTACCATTGTGAAAAATCAGTTTAGAAATAAGCTCGTAGGAGAGGTGTCAGGCTCGGATTTGAGCATCTCCCTAGAAGGTTTCAATGACAGGCCCTGCAAAGATTTAGATTTCATTCTGCTTGCAGCTGGAAGCCAGTGAAGGAATTTAACCCCCCAAAAAGGACATGTAATCATAATATTTTCAAAGATTAAAATATAAAAAATTTTTTGAAATACAAAAATACTCCCAAAACACAAAACCAGGAATTCTTAATAAATCCACTACAGCAGAGAGAGTGACCCCACAGAACCTGACGAATCAGAGCCGTACGTGCCAGAACCCAGATTTAGATGGTGTCGCCGCCTTCCAGAGTCCCAACCCAACCCCTGCTTAGGCCACGATTTAATTAAGGATAAGGTCTCTGTACAAACAGTCGTACTTGGAGCATTCCAGAAAAACCTCACCTAAGCTGGACAGGGCCTTAAGCTCTGGAATCTATGGGGCTCTCACCACGGCTCTCAGAGGAACTACTAATTCTTACGGTTTTCCCACCTTCAGCAGCCTAGAAAATTCTAGAATCAAAGGTCTTTCTCCCGGGAGGCCCAACCAACCTTACCAAAAAAGCCAATCCGGGGACCCTCACAGTGGCAGCAGCTTCTTCACAGGCCTGTTTTCTCCTGAAGCGACTAAAACAAGATTGAGGGACCACGACGGAAATAAGAGTGAAGGGCGAAGAAGAATAGGCACCGCTTGCTCTACTTCCTGTTTACGAAACGACTGACTCATTTAGGCTGAGTAAGGCCGGCTTGCGCCTGAGCAGCACCTCCTCCCAGAACGCAAGAATCTGAGAGGAACAGGGGACAGGCTGTTCTGGGGGGGGGGGGGGGAGGGACTGGGCCACCTGAGCTTTGGCTCTGGCTGTGTGACTTTGGATGGGTCATTTTACCTTTGGGGCCTCTTTTACCACATTCCAAAATGAGAAAGTTGGACTGGATGGTAATTAAGAGTCCCTTCATTCCGTATTTCAGGAATTTACAGATTTTTCTGGGTTCATTATGAAGACTTGAATGTTTTCATTCAGTAACATTGATCGAGCACTTCTGAGAGATCTGAAAACTGTGGGGTCCTCATCATGGCTCTCAGAGGGTCTGCTAACCCCCACAGCTAACTCTCATGGTTTCCCATCTACACTAGAATATGGTGGCCCCGAGGCCACCAGATCCCACCCTCAGCAGCCTGGAAAACTCTAGAATCAAAGCCCTTTCTCCTGAAAGGCCCAGATGACCTTACCAAAGAGACAAACAAATCCTAGGGTCCTCAGCATGGTCTGGGCCCTGGAGATATAACTGCACAAAACACATTTACCCCAGCCTTTGTGCTGTGAATCAACTGAAATGTTTTCTGATGTTCAAAGTAGAAAGAAAAAAAATCAAACACTGCTCTTCTTTGAATTTGTCTTTTTTCTTTCCCCAAATAGAATATAAGCTTTCAGAAGGCTGAGACCCACCTTAGAGCTGAGAGCATTAAAGGGGGTGTCTGGAAGTGCCTCTTCACCTGTAGAGGGCTAGGTAAAGTACTATCGATGCCCTTCACTCCCACTTGATTCTGCCCATCAAGTCTGAGTGAGAACACAGCAACACAAGGAAATCCTGTAAGGAGTTAAATCCTAACCCAGGAGGGATTCCCTGATGCTCTTCCAGAGCATCCTCCCCAGCATTCATTCCACTGTTTTGTGACCAGTTCCTGTGCTGGGCTGTGAGCTTCACAAGGGCAGGAGCACATCTTTCATGTCTGTGTTCCCAGAACCTACCACAGGAGGAGCAATATCTATGACCTCCAAACAGTTCCTACAAATCGACGAGAAGAAGAAAGCCTGTAGAGAGACAATGGGTCTGAACGTGGAGTTCCTTCAGAGTGACTGACTTGCTTACAAAGCCAAAGTGTACGAGGTGAAGCTCAGACACTTTAATAATCTGAGAAATGCAAAATAAAGCAACATGATACCCACTTTCTACCCATCAGATTGGCCAAGGTTTGCAAGTGGGATCAGACCAAGGATTGGTGGGCAAGTTCTTATGTCATCCTTATAGATGATTGTGAAGACTGTCCAGCACATAATACCCCATAGGGCTTAGAAAGTGGGACCTGGCAAAACATAGAACTTCAAGTGCCAGAGTGCTCCCTTTAAAAAAAAAGAAGCAGAATGAGCAAAACACAATCCAAATAATACTAATAAATAGTAATAATTGCAAGTACTTACTGAGAACTTAGTAGCGCCAGTCACTGTTGCAAGTGGTTAATGTGTATTATCTCATTAAATCCTCAGGACCACTTCGTGAGGTAGTACGAATCCCATATAATGTTGAGGAAACAGAAGCACAGAGAAATTACTTACTTGTTCCAGCTCATAGTTAAAAAAAATAGTGTGTTCACACAAAACAACGATACATTTTGCAAAGATACAGATCAATCCAGGCCTAGTACCAAAAGATTTAGAGAGCTGTCTTTTGGGAGGCAGCAGGGGGCGGGGGAGGAGGGGGAGGAAGTTGGGGGGGGAGGAGATGGAAGAAAGTGCCAATGAGGCGGTGGGCGGCATCTGAGAGATTAACTCAACCCTCTGCCCAAATGGAAAAGAAAACCAATGAAGTAGGTAAAGGCTATCTCCTGGAATCTCCAAACTGATCCGGCAGGAGAGAGACACTGTGTCTGTATTTGAGGCAGCAGGGGAGACACTAAGAAGAGAAATGTAGCAGAGTATTGAAGATCCCTCAGAGTTAAAATGTAGCAAGGACCTCGGCTGCGGTGCAGAGAGAAAGCCCACTTAGAGATGTGGGGCCCTGGTAGGATCCTGAGGTGTCCCCCACTCTGCCCATGGAATGAGTCCCGGAAACATGGTATTCAAAAGCCATTCTGCACCAGGCACTCACCTGCTCAACCCTGTCCCAGCGACATCACAGAGTGCCCGGTGCCAAGACCCCTGAACTGCCCAATTTCACCCACTCTTAAGTCTTGTCCACCCAGCCAGAGAAAAGTCCCTTGAAAGAGGGTGGGGATGAGGAGGGTGAGGATAGAAACACCTCCAGGAAGTTTTCTTTTACTTTCAGTAACTCTACTTTCTGCCTCCCTCAGGGGACTCACTTCTTGTTCTCCACATTCAGAATTTAGCAGTGAATTCAGCAGGGCTTAAAAAAATAAAAGTCCCAAGAAACAAGAGCAGAATCTGGTCTTCAGGAAGCAAGGAAGAAAATTCCTCAACAGAAAGATCTAGAAAATAAATTTGATTCCCAAAGCGAAAGGACAGAGATGACTCACTCGACCAAGAAATGCTTCTTAAAGGAACAGATGTCCAAATTCCAACCATTCAGAAGAGGGACTTTGGCAATTTGTCAACATGTAAACTAACTGGTTAGTGAGGGGGTGCAGAATATGCCACCCCAAAATATACCACTTTGCATATGGATTATTTTTAATTAGAGTTTCTTGAGAAATAACCAATGCAAGAAGGACAGTTGGAACCTCCTTTTCTTCCTGAAAGCAGAAAATAAATCTCTGATGTGAAAGCTACCCTCCCTTAGCAGGAGGTAGAGAGACATCCTTACAACCAGAGATAGGGAAGTTAGAGCTGAGAAGACTGTGTAAACAAAACTTGTTGCTTCCTCACTAATTTACTACCCCAAGCCCAAACTTTTACTCTTGTCAATTTTTCACAAATTTATTATTTGTCTAAAAGATATAGAAGCTGCCTGCTTGGGGGCGTCTGGGTTGCTTAGTCGGTTAAGTCTCTCTCTCTCTCTCTCTCTCTCTTTTTAAGATTATATTTATTTATTTGAGAGAGAGAGTCAGAGATAGTGACCGAGAACATGAGTAGGGAGGGGAAGAAGAAGCATGCTCTCGGCTAAGCAGGGAGTGCCTCGTGGGCTCGATCTCAGGACCCTGGCATCATGACCTGAGCTAAAGGCGGATGCTTAACCAGCTGAGCCACCCAGGCACCCCTAAGCCTCTGACTCTTGATTTCAGCTCAGGTCATGATCTCAAGGTCATCGGATGGAGCCCTGCATGGGGCTCAGGGGAAAGTCTGCTTGAGATTTTCTCCAGCTCCCTCTGCCCCTCCCCCCATTTGCTCACACATGCATGTGTGCATGTGCCCACACTGCCTCCCCCCCAATAAATAAATAAATCTTTAAAAAAAAAAGCTGACTGCTTCAGTCAGTTCTTTGAATCTGATATTTCTATGAGCTCTTATACGTATGAAATTAAATTTATTATTCTCTTGTTACTCTGTCTTTGGTCAATTTAATGATTAAACCAGGCAAAGAACCTAGGAGGGAAGAAGAGAAAAGCTTCCCCCCTGCTACACCTGGAAGCTGGACATGCTTTATCAGAAAGCATTTATACTGACTACACTTAATATTAATAACCCCTGTAATTTTGAAACCCCTGTAATTTAAAGACTGCCTGTGGCTAGTAAAATGCCATTCTCCTTTGAAAGGGGTCTGGGGAGAGGAATTGTCCTCTATTCTCAAACCTCAGCACTGACCCCATGGACCACCACCCGCCCCGACACACACACACACACCACCCATGGGTTCATATGGCAGGGGCTCTTCTAGGGTCCAAACGGGCCTCTAGCTGAAGTGGGAGATCCTGCACAAGAAAACGGGTGGGTCTGGCCCAGTCCTAAGTAGGGGTAACAACACTGTTTGCCTTAGGTTGTGCTCTTAGGTTTAGTAGTAACCAGTGCTTCCTCCACCACTGAGCCTGGCGTCGTGGTAACATGCAGATTTGTCTCCCAGGCCCTCCCCAGCTTTCCCTCACCCTCTAACTCCTCCCCACCCTCTGCCTCTGTTTCCTGTTTGAATGTTTTTAAGGGCTTTCTGTCCTTTTGCTTTCACATCTTGCACATTTTAGAACCAAAACACTGGCAATAATACAATTCCTGTACGTTGTACCCTTAACTGGATTATCTCTAATTTGCCTCACAGTGCGGGGGATTAGTCCCCCGTGTTATGGATGAGGAAACTGAGGCTCAAACACATACGCAGATTCAAACTCAATCCTGTTGGACCAAACACAAGGATTTTTCCACTGAAACACACTAGTCTCCCTTCCCTAGGGAATCTGAAATGAACAATGTGGATGGTAGAGCAATAAATTTAAACTAAGCTGTCGGTCAATGTCTACACATTAATACACAACCACGGTTCTCAACATGACTGATCTGAGAACTAACTGGGAATGTTGAAAGAAATACCAATCTTCAGACCCACCCAGCTTTGGAATTCCAACCTGAGCAGAATTATAAGAGATACAACAGATCGAGCACTTAAGAGTAGTGCCTGGGCCTTCAACAGTTGTCAATAAATATTTGCTGCCATTGTTACACAAGTTTACAACATCTGTATGATGGCTATAAATTATTAGACATATTGTACGGGGAAGCAAACAGTTCGGTGTCAAAGAGCTGAAAAATGGCAGTCAGCACACAAACCCAGGAAGGTCTCACTTGAGAGGCTCATTCTCCCATCTGCACCCAGGCCCAGCCTGGCAGAAATGGATGAGTTGCTGGAGGCATCCAGGGGGCTGTGCTGAGAATGAACAGAGGGTTCTCAAGGGCTTCAGGTTGTGTCATTTGTAAAGTATGGATCCTAGGCTCTCCCAGTCTTAGCTCTTTCTAAAAAAGGAGATGCCTGGGTGGCTCAGTCGTTAAGTGTTTACCTTCAGCTCAGGTCATGATCCCGGGGTC